GCAAGGCTTTACGGAATCCCCTAATTTGTTTGGGCAGGCTCTCGAGCGGGTAATGGTTGGCTATACCCAAAATCCTGAGGTTAAGGTTATACAGTATGTAGATGATCTTTTAGTAGCTGGGAAGCAAAAAGAAGAAGAAAGAGAGGAAAGCATTAGACTGTTAAACTTCTTAGGTCTCCAAGGACTGAAGGTTTCTAAGAGTAAATTATAATTTGTAGAAGAAAAGGTTAAATATTTGGGTCATTGGTTAAAGAAGGGAACAAAAACATTGGACCCCGAGAGAGTCCAAGGCATATTGTCCTTACCTCTACCAAGAAACAGAAGGCAGATTAGACAATTATTAGGGCTAACAGGATACTGTAGACAATGAATTGAAAACTTGAGTGGTAAAGTTAAATTTTTATATGAAAAATTAACTGGAGAGGGATCAATAAAATGGATGGAAGATGATGAAAGACAGTTAGAGGTTCTGAAAGAAGAATTGACTAACGCTCCAGTATTAAGTCTCCCTGACTTAAAAAGACCTTTCTCTTTATTTATCAACACAGAAAAYRGGGTAGCTTATGGAGTGTTAACCCAGGAATGGGCAGATAGCAAAAAGCCCGTAGCATATTTGTCCAAACTATTAGACCCAGTAAGTAGGGGATGGCCAACCTGTCTCCAAATAGTGGCAGCAGCAGCTCTTTTGGTAGAAGAGGCTTTAAAAAATCACTTATGGAGAAGAGCTAAAAGTGTATACTCCCCACAATATCCGGGCAGTACTACAACAGAAAGCTGAAAAATGGATCACAGATTCTCGACTCCTAAAGTATGAGGGTATATTACTCTCTTCTCCCAGATTAACTCTGGAAGCTACCTCACCTCAAAATCCTGCGGAGTTCCTTTTTGGAAATCCACACGAGGATCTCAAACATGATTGTTTGCAAACCATAGAATGGCAGGCGAAAATAAGACCTGACTTAGAAGAAGAGGAAATAGAGGAGAAAAGTTATTTGTGGACGGATCTTCCAGAGTAATAGATGGGAAAAGAAGGTCAGGCTATGCCATTATTGGAGGGGATGACTTACAGACCATAGAGTCTGGGCCCTTGAGCGCCAGTTGGTCAGCCCAAACTTGCAAATTGTACGYGGTAYTWCAAGCAYTAAAAAGATTAAAAGGAAAAAATGGAACTATATATACAGACTCAAAATATGCATTTGGGATAGTACACACTTTTGGAAAAATTTGGGAAGAGAGAGGATTAATAAATTCAAAAGGGAAAGGCTTGATACATGGGGAACTAATAACCCAAATTCTCCAAGCAGTGAGGGGACCCAAGAAAATCGCTGTAGTACATATTAAAGGACATCAAAGGGGATTATCCTATTTGATCAGAGGGAACAACCGAGCAGACGAGGGAGCAAAAAGGGCTGCCCTTACGCCTATGTATAATAAAGAAATAGAAAGTCCCCAAAAGCTATGCACTACTAAAATTATGTGCTTTAAAACCCAAGAGAAGGGCAAAATGACAATAATGGGAATTGAAGAAAAAGACAATGTTTGGATCCTACCGGATGGGAGAGAAATAATACCTAAATCAATAGCCAGACAAGTAATGCAGAAAATGCACKAYRGAACTCATTGGGGGACTCARGCAATGGTAGATCAATTTGYGATCAGGTATATGACCATAAGAATCTACAAAATAGCTAAACAAATAGTCCAARGGTGTCTAACGTGCCAAAAGGTAAATAAGCAATACGTCAGAGAAAGGACCATAGGCCATTTTCACACATACCAATTGACTTTACTGAACTCCCAAAGGTTGGGCGATATAAGTATTTACTGGTGATAATAGATCACCTAACTCATTTTGTAGAAGCCGGTCTGACAACCAGGGCCACTGTGAATGTTGCAGTAAAGACTCTATTAGAGGAAATAATTCCCCGTTATGGAATAGCCGAGATAATAGATTCCGATAGGGGACCACACTTTGTTGGAAAAATTTTAAGGCAAATTACTGAAGCATTAGGGGTAAGATGGCAACATCACAYCCCGTGGCATCCCCAAAGTTCTGGAAAAGTTGAAAGAATGAATGGAGAAATTAAAAGGCAACTGACTAAACTAATGTTAGAAACCAAAATGTCATGGATCAAATGCCTGCCCATAGCATTACTAAACATTCGAATACAACCCAGAACAGATGTAGGAGTATCTCCTTTTGAAATGCTATATGGGATGCCTTATGACATAGAAATTCCTAGTGACCATCCTCATAYAGAGGATGATCAAATAAACAACTACCTTGCACAACTGATAAAACGAAGGAAATGGCTTAAAACTGAAGCATYGGAAGTTCCACAGGAACTTAAGGAAGCATTTCTTCACTGGGAGGGTGACAAAGCACTGGAACAGGCTGCCCAGAGAGGTTGTGGAGTCTCCTTCTTTGGAGATCTTTAAAACCCGCTTGGATGCAGCCCTGTGCCACGTGCTCTAGGTGACCCTGCGTGAGCAGGGGGGTTGGACTCGATGACCTCTGAGGTCCCTTCCAACCTTCGGCATTCTATGATTCTATGATTCTATGAATGAGTTACATAGAAAGGGGTTAATAGTACAAAGGCCTCCCCAGGATATAATGATGCATAAATTAAAGCCTGGTGACTGGATAATGATAAAATCATGGAAGGAGTCTACTCTAACCCCTCGATGGGAGGGACCTTATGTCMTTTTACTTACTACAGAGACGGCAATACAAACAGCAGAGAAGGGGTGGACACACGAGTCTCGAGTCAAAGGACCGGTGAATCCTCCTAATGACCAGTCAGACCCTATCAACCATCGACCAGATCGGTGGAAGATCATAAATAATCCTGGAGACTTGAAGATCAAACTTAGGAAGAGATAAACAACTGATTGGGATTGGGTAAACACCGATGTAACGGTACTCAGGTTAAAATGGTTGACAAAAGGAATATTAGAGCCACTAAAACCCCTGATTGGAGAAAAGGAACTTGAATGGAACTCTTATGATGAATTGGTAGAAATATATTTTACTCTAGGTAATTGGCCAAAATCAGTACCTAAACCTCCCCTTGTATTAGCTGTAATAATCTTAAGTGCATGGGAGCATGGACAAATATTGTGTGCTGCGGATGTAAACAAAATCCTTGAATTTTCTAAGGTGCATTAGAAGAAAATAATTGGTGTAAAAGTTGCGATATACATTGAGTACAGGATCAGCCATCAAGGCCTTGAAACAATTTATAAGCAGGTCTAATATAAGTAATGAGGATGTAATAGCCCTAGTTCAGAGTCTGGAACAAAGATTTGTGGAACCTATCCTGGGGAATGTATTAGAAAGCGAAAAGAATTCTAGAGACACATAATTCACAAAGACTGTGGTCAATTTGCTGTACAAAAAGGGAAATATATGTACCCAGACATTAGCTGGGTAGAAACAAAAAGTGGGACCGAGTTGTAAAAGGATCTAGAAAGGAGCAATTAAGGCAAAGAGCTCGCAAGATTGCCAAAAAGGGTATCAATTCCATCACAAGAGAATGTCCGCATTAAAACTGAAAATAAGGTGAGCAACTTTCCTAAAGTACCTCCTGAAGAATATCCTTGCTACCGCGAAGATCTTATAACCTGTGGCTCGCAGCAACCGAGTCGACAGGCGAGGCAGAGGGATAGAAAGCAGTGGAGGAAAAGGGCCTGAGGGGCCTCAGGAAGTTTTGCCACCCACCTTACCGGAAATCGCAGTCCGGTGAAATGGGACGCTTAAACAATCGGACAAAATTGGGACCACACCCTGGTTGGCAAATGATAATGTGGGCCACGTTTCTCAAGGGGGAAAACATCGTCCAAATATTGACTCCAACCCTAAGTCCCACAGATTCTCTTTTAACTTCGGCATCCGCTGCGTTCCACATCTTAAATGCCTCATATCCAAACCTTACTGAACATTGTTGGTTATGCTTTGATATAAGACCTCCTTTTTATGAAGCAATAGGAATATCTTAAAAAAACCCTGTCAAGTCTAATGGGACTAACCCTCCACAATGTAGCTGGAAAGAAACTAATAAGCCTGGAATAACCTTAGACTCAGTGCCTGGAAAAGGATATTGTATAAGAAATGTACCTAACAAAATTAAGCCTTTATGTTCTAAATTGCATAGCACTAAACGGAATAGCAAATGGCTAATACCTGTAAACAACACAAAGTGGATATGTAACCTGGGGGGTCTTGTACCATGCATATCTCTAGAGGTCTTCAACAAAACCTCTGATTATTGTATCCAAGTTCTCATAGTTCCTAGACCCCTTATGTTATTAGTATTAGTACTCACCTTTGGACCTTGTATATTCAACAAGTTAATAGCAATAGTTAAAAATAGGTTAGAAGCAGCACATTTAATGTTAGTAAGAGCTAGATATGAAAATTTACAAAACCGAGTTCCTGATTATTTAGACATACAAAACCTTAGTGAACAAAATTGGTAAAAATAAAAGAGGAGGGAATTGTAATAAACACRTTTGTTCACTAAGRCTATCKAAGKATTTTGTTAAAGTAACCACATCCKGTTAATGATCCACAAGATGTTAACCATGAATAGGCTTTGCTTGCATAGSAACAAGTTTGSGAGACCAAGAGATAGCCAACTATTTTGCATACAATRGGCACTGAGGGCAATGGGAAACAGAGGGCACTGAGGAAGRCTTATCYGCCTTCCTCCAAAACGACCATCAGAAGGCAGATAACGACCACCTAGCAACAGCCGGCGCAAGCACATTCCGACTGAGCAACATCAACAACACACAGTGCAGACTGAACGGAACCTTCGGAAAAAACACCAAAGGCGGGACTTGGACTCAATATAAATACCGAGACTTTGGGGACTTGAGTGGGGGCCTGAGAATGATTACCTTCAGGCCGCCCCAGTGCTGTCACCCTTTGTATCCAGCTTACTTTAATAAAATGTAGATGAGAAATTGGCTCGCCTCATTTATGACAGTAGTATATTCCTCTATTTCATAAGGTTTTTATTTTTTTTTTTAATAAAATCTCAGACTCAGTCAAAGCTTTCTCTGCCTGCTTGGAACAGGTCATTCTCAGTGGGAAAAACAGAAGCATTTAGAGCTCCAATATCCTTTCGCACTTCAGTTTGGGAGCACTTCATTGGGCATAGGGAGACCATGAAGAGCTGCTAGGATGTTTTCAACTGCTTCCTCTGTGATCATGCGAGCCGTCTTCTCTGTTTTAATGCCAAGGTGGGGTGTTATTATGACATTCTTTAATTTTAATAATGGATGATCTCTAGAAGAAGAAGGAAAGAAGAGGTATATATAAGTTACCTGCACTCATTCATCCAAATGAAGAGTCTTACTTTGGCTATTGCACTGTGCTTAAAGATGTAGTTCATTTAATATAGATTTTTATAAGTCCCACTTATATTGAGACCAATCCCATACTTATGGGCACTGATGAACTGCATTCAAGTAATTCTGGACATGAAAATACGTGCTAAGAGTTTATACAGTGCTTTTTTTTTGTAGAAGACCATTTTTTTTTCTTTTTTTCTACTCTTAGGCAGCAATTTGGCCTGAGTCAGAGGAAAGAACAGCGATGTCCCAGGCCTGCTGACATAACAAGCCCAAACCAGACAGCACAGTTAACTCAGTGAGGTACAGTTCTGCAAAGTGAGCTGGTTTTTACTTATTTGTCTGTCTGTCTATCTATTATTTTAGAATAGCCTCTTGGCCAGAGAGATCAGCAGCACTTCAGCCATGAAGAGCTGTGAATGGGGAAAGGAGCCTGGAGGGAGGGCCAGGCCAGGCCAGGCCAGGCGGGGAGGTCGGGCACAATGCGGCGGGGCTGAACAGGGGCCAGTCCGGCAGCTTGTCCCTATTCACGCCAAGTTGTGTTCCCCTTTCTGATGCAAAGATGCCTCCCTGAAGCCCTGCTGGGCTTCATATTGTGATTCTGAGGTGGACACTAGGCCTACGTGGCCCTCCTGCTGTTCCTTGCTGTTTCCTTTGGGCCTGTTCCCGCCCGCAGCACCTGGGCTGCCTCCCATTCTCATGCACAGGGCCCTGACCCCAAACGTGGGTCCCCTCCTGCCTGCTGGGCCTTTCCCAGCCCTCCGGCCATGGCCACACAGGGACTTCTGGACACCCAACGCAGTCGGCAACCTGGGCAGCGGCTCCGGGTAGGTGACATCCAAAGCGGCAGCCCTGATGACACCGTCCTGGAGAGCACTCACCAGCGCCTCTTGGTCCACCACTGCCCCTAGGTGGGAACAAGAGTGTCTCTGAGTGCCCTTTGCAGGCAACAATCTGAGAGTGAAGAGAGACGAGAAAAGGAGAGGGGAGGTTTTTGTCCACGGCTGCTCTGTACAGTCCCCAGTTGTGCAGTTCCTGCAGCACAACAGGAGCCGGCTCCCATCTTGCAGTCGGAGCTGTCTGGGACGTTACCTCGGCTGATGTTAATGAGAGTAGCCGTGGGCTTCATGAGCTCCATCTCCCTCTTCCCAATCAGCTTGCGTGTCTGAGGGGTCAGGCTCACCACCACCATCACGAAATCTGACTGCTGGAGCAAGCTCTCCAGCTTTCCACAATAGGTGGCACCAACAAGTTGCTCTTCCTGCTCTTTCCTGACAGGGAAAAAAAAAAAATAAAAAAGGATCACGCTGTATTTCAGGCAGGCAGTCTTGGGAATGTCGTCTGCTTCGCAGTGTCATCATCTTCCCTAGCAATTTATTGCAGCTCCTGGCTATTCAAGGACTTGTTGTGCTCAACACAAAAAGCTACAGAAGTAGAGAGTTTTAGTTTGAACTTTTCGACATGGAAAAAAAATTGTGGTCATTTATCCTATTGTTTTCAAACCTTGCTGCCTAAACTTTGAGAACTAAAGAGACGAGAATATAAATCAGTACAATCTTCTCTTCCTGTATCCCAGAGAATAGCTTTTGTAATGTCTTCTCCTCCCCCTAAACTAGCAAGAAAGTAAGAAGTCACACTAAGAACTTCAATGACACTTTGGATCATGTGCCTGCTAACATATATTAATTATTTTCTTACAGGGTCCAGAGTCCAACTATAAGGGCTTATGCAAATAAAGACCAGAATGGGATTATAGCCAGGTTTACAGCACAGAAAGTCTGAATATTCTGATGAATTTAACGTCTAAACACACTTTAAAATGGTCACAGTTTTTTCCTTTCCATTACAGCATGCATTGATTATTCACCACAGCACTCTTTTACAGCAATCTTACTTAAAAGGAGGGAGTTAGTGATAACCAACAGACTCTTTTACAGCAATCTTACTTAAAAGGAGGGAGTTAGTGATAACCAACAGAAAACAAAAAAAGGGATTTGTGCTTTATTTGTTCTTCATTCTGGTATATAAAGAAAACTTGAAAGAGCTTGACTATATTTTTCTTGTTGTTTGTTTTGTTTGTTTGTTTTCTGGTACTTCTTTGTACCTGAATTTGTTCAGCTGTTTTTATAATATCTGAAGTAATCAGAATGCCAGGCCCCATCTGTCCTGGCCATCTAAAGCAGTAATGCTGCTACTACAGTCTGCATGTGGAGCATCTTACTGCAAGCCACATGTACCCATTGCAGCTTCTCTTGATGTCAGGGAAGGGTAAATCTGCCTCAGTGCAGATCAGGGTTTAGTAAGGTTTTTTTTTTTTCTTTTTTTTTTTTTTTTTGTTTCAGTCCTAGTCATGTTCTCCCAGTTTGTGCTTGAATTCTGTTGACACTGTTGACACAGTATCTTGAGAAGAGAAATACTGACTATTTGAAAGAGAGTCGCTGCTGTAATTATGCTGGAGACATATCTTTACCTCCGTGTCCTGTTGTGGTACAAAATGTTCATTTCAAATGCTCTGGCTCTCAGAGCAATCTTATACCCAATGCTGCCCATTCCAATGATCCCCAGAGTAGCTCTGGTAACTTCAACTCCCAGAAGATCAGCTTCACAATATTCCACATTTGGAGCAACTGCAACACGACAGCCTACAAGAGAAATGCTGCAACATTAGGGCTTTTAGACACAAATATTAGGCACATACACTCCTTTGTTTAACAGATACAATACATTGCTTCAGATAACAGTGATTTTTGCAATATCCTGGATGACTCTTCAATATACCATCTTTTTTTGCCACATGCTGACATGCTCTGTTTATTCCTGCCGTGCTACCAAATGCTTTTTGATACCATCCTCCCTGCAAACCTTTTTCCTCTCTGCACTGGTAAAAATGATGACCTGTTCTGCTACAATAATCCAAATAATTATTACCAGTAACACTGCAGGTTTTGGAAATCCTTGTTGGGAATAATACCAAGTGTTCGTGTTGCTATTTAGAGTAAGACAAGGTTTCCTGTTCACCTCTGCCATTCTAACTGGCTGGAAGAGTGCATCTTCTTTAAAACTCATTACTCAGTAGTTTCCCTGGATTATCTGCCAAACCTGCACAATTTTGTGCTTCTGATCAATGCAGAAAATAAGCTTACATGCACAGAGACACAGTGCTTACTAGCTTGCTGGCAAAGTGTGAGGTTTCTGATATTTCAGCCCTCTAAAGAAAAATATTCTTCCTGATATTGCCAGCTAAAACATAAGCAGAATACTGTGAAAACAACAACAAAAAAGAATGCCTCAGGATATTAATCATGCCAAAGCAGAGCTATCAGACATTCACATAGATGGGGCAATCATTAATCTCCTTTTTAATCCATCTCATCTTTGTGAGGTAGAAACAGGTTTGGGGGAAGACCAAGAAGTCTCTTGCCTTTGAGTTTCTAAGAAGCTTGTGGTACCGCTGAGGTATCAAAGGCAGATAAATTTAATAGGAAGGAAAGAGAAAGGGGTTTATTTTGCTTGTTTTGTTTTGCTTTCCTGCAGCAGGAGGCATTCCTGGCAAGCCAAGGTAAAGTCTGTTTGAAGAAAGGACCAAGAAAATTTGTGATGCAAACGAGAACAGGTGCTAGTATGAGAAACTGCAGCACCCTGTCTCTGATGCCACTGTAATCATTTGGTTTTGCACCAATGCATTTCAGTCCCTGAAAACATGCCCATGTCTCTGGCAGGGCCAGCTTTCAGCAAACGTCCTTATTTTGAGCCACTGTTGTCTCCCACACTTCTTTTTTCACCACCTTTCCATGACCGCTCTGTCATGTCCCTCCCTCCTGATCAATAGCACCGTACCACTACAACATCAAGAAACAAACATCTCAAAGCCAAATGTCAGAGTCACTGCAAATGCACTGCTGAAAAACGTCATGGAATTGGAATCTTCCATGTGAGAAGCACACTTCAGTGTGTTGTTCAGCTAGCATTAACTGTTAACATTAATTCTATAGACATATGTATTCTAAAAAAAAAAAAATCCTGCTTCTAAGAAAAGCATCAAACCCTGTCAATAAAGCACAGATGTCCTGTCACTAATGCACAAAGTTGCACTTGAACAGAATTTGATTAGATTCTGTTCAAGTATAAATAAATTCACATGATTTTATGCTTGGTGGAAATATGTATCAGATAAAATATGTCTGCATAACAACTATTTGATGTGTCATCTCAACATATTTTTCTGGAATTTAGATATTCACATTTTATTGCACTCTAGAAAGGTTAAGTTTATGGTATGAAAATCTTATATCATTTCCAGAATCCATAGAAGAATTGAAATGATACCTTCTATTATTCTTCTAGCAGATGCCAGCAGTAAAGCCATCCCGGTATCTGCGGTGCTGTTGGAGACAGCATGTGGAGCATTAGCCATTTTCACACCAAAGCCAGCTATAAGTTTCAGATCCAGGTGATCCATCCCTACTCCTGAATTTGCAATCACTTTCAAGTTTGGCAGGCTCTGGAGGAGCTCTCGATCAACGACTGGTTTGTGCCACCACAAATAGATTGCTTGGACTTTATCCCTCAAGTACTTTCTGTCTTCAAGCAATTCCTTCATGGTGATGAGGTAGAAGTGTCTCTTCAGGAATTCCGTGTGGCTATGCAGTACCCCATGCATTCCTCCTATTTCATTTACCAAAAGCCCAGGTAGCTCTCCTCCTTCCATGATCTGCAAGAAAAAAGACACATGGTGCTTAATTATCTCCGGACATTTTAAAGAATCATCAGTTTCCCGTCCTTTTATCATGACAACTACTGCAAGAGGTCTTATAACGAAATATTTAAATAGCGAGATAAACACACCACCACAAGAAAGCAGTTCTTTAAAATATACTATCAATCACAAGAAGAAAAAAATACAAAACAAAACAAAGAAAAGCAACATTCACATAATGAAGTCTGAACCAGTTCTGTCACTCATGAGTAGTCAGCTTTCATATCATTATCAGCAGGCTCATAACACTTGGAATTATTTTTAATTACTTAGTTTCAGATCGTCTCTAATCTGTTGTCATATATCTTCTCTATGCTGGAATCACAAATGGCTGTGTGTAAGGAGTTCAGAAAAGTGTTGGGCTAAATCTAGCCCCTGCAAATAAATGTCACAGCTTCATCATGAACTTTGAGTTATCAAGTTAATATTTAAATGCTCCATTACAGAGTTTTTTGCAGTTCTCTGTCCTGGAGAGACACCAAAAAATTCCTAATTGCAGTGCATTCCCTGGAGTCTATCATAAACTAACAATATAATAACAGCTTAGGCTTTTTTTTTCCCCTTAACAAGGAACTTAAATGTAAGCACTAGAATTAAAATGCTTTTATGCTTTTTTTTCCCTGCAAGAACCATTTACCATTTGTATGTAGCTCTCAGAGGGTCTATGAAATGGCAGCTCTTTTTAAAAAACAAACACACACACACATAACTATTTACGGCCGGCATCGATTTTCCTTCGGAATTTTGCAACAAGATTTTGCAGGGGTGAGTGGAGGTGATTGTGCAAGGGGTGAAGATCTTTGAATCCACTCTAGCAAGGCTTGATGTTATCTGGTTCACAGTATTTCAGTACTTGCATCCCATTTCAGTATTTGCATCTGAATGTCTAGCGCTCGGGCTCTCCTCATGTATTGTGTGAAATCTTCTTTTTATCAACCTTCTAAGAAGCCTGACCATATTGGAGAATAATGGAACAGCATCTTGCTTGAGAGATGAATCTTTCCTTGAGTCTTCTGACTTCACTGTTTGCTCAGACTCAGGAAAGAGTATGGAAGAAGTATGGAAGAGACAGGAAGGAGGCTGGCTTCAGACTGGGAAGTTAGCACTGGTCACTAACTTTGCTTTGGGCCATGCCTTCACTGATGTGCTTGCAGTGGTAGCCATTGCCTTGTTTCACCAAGATAAGGTTGGCCAATCAAGACAAAAGCAACGATTTTGTCTGCATAGAGAAACCAAATCCCTCTGAATTTACCTTGGTTTCTGTAGCGGAATCCTTCAAAAGAAAGGAAAATCAGTGATTGGCTTCACTTTGATTTAACCGTGTAGATGAAACTACGCTCTCCTTACAGTTGAAAACATTTTAGGCCCAAGATCATCTCAGTGAAGTCTGCTTTTCTTGAGTGTTTTGATATCAAGAGAGAATATTGCAACACCAGCTAAAAAGTGTTTTGGGATATAGCCAGATTTCTGCAAGTAATTAATGTTCAATCCACCTTTAATACCCATGAGTATTCACAAACTGCTGAGGGTGCTTCCTTGTCATTAGGTAGTAGCAAGTACCGGAAATAACACACAGGTATTAACTGAACAAACAAGAGCAAAACTGCTCACTCAAAAATCATTTATTTGAAACTTCTAATTTGTTCTTCTTTATTTTTTCAGAATTGGAAATGGCAATACAGGTTAAGCTCAGTGGGCCAACAGCTTTGCAATATCAGGACAACAAAAGCAGTGCAGGAACAGAGGTACTGTAGAAAATAGTGTTTTTCACAGACAAGAGATTTCGGGATGTCATCTGGTGCACATCACTTGGGGACCACTTCACTGGGAATGGGCTGACCATTGAGAACAGCCAGCATATTTGTTATTGCTTCCTCTGCCATCATATGGATGGCCTGGACTGTTGCAGTTCCAATGTGAGGGGTTATGATAATGTTATCTAATTTTAACAAAGGATGGTCTCTGTAAGAAACAAAAAGAAAAAAATAAATTACACATCAAACATTTAGGCTGCTGCTGTCACATGCTAGTTGGAAAGAAGTGAACCTCAGGAAACAGCAACTGCGTAATGAGGTAAAGGGGCCAGAGGCAGAGAATCTCCAGAGAGCTGTAAGAAGCTCCCTTACCCATTCCCTCTTTCTCTTGATGCCTTGCATGCCAGTCAGGTTGCCAAAGAGCTGACATAGGTGGGAAAAGGGTTTGCCATTTACTTATGCTTGTGCAAGACAAGTTGAGGTTTTACCTTAAGCAGTGAGAGGCACTCCTGATAAAGATCAGGATAATGAGCAGAATTTTACAGATAATTTTAATCATTTCAGACTAATAGCATGGGAAACAGCTGTGTCTACCTTGGAAGAGGCTCAGGGTATGTCACATCCAGAGCAGCCGCCCTAATAACCTTCTTCTGTAGAGCTTCTACCAATGCATCTTGATCAATAACTGCACCTGCATTGAAAAGATAATTTATTGCTGTCATCACAAGCTAACAAACACATTTTTAACCTAGTGGGTGGAGAAAGATCTAGTTCTAGAAAGCGTAACTAAAGAATTTACATTTGATAGAAAATGAAATGTCCTTAACCAAACTAAAGAGACATTCTATTCATTAATCTTTAATTAGAGGATGATCATAGTTCAGTGAATAGAACATGAGAAGTGAAACACTTAAGTCTATTCCTCATTTTGAAAACAATTTCTTAAATTACTGTAGGCAGATCATTTCAAAGCTCTTTGAGCTTTTCTAGTCTTTAATCTCTGCTTTGCTCTTGAAACTATAACCTTTTAGGTCTGCTCTGATATGCCTGTTTGGCATCAACAGATCTGTAATCCCATCTGAGGTTCCTTTTCCAGACAGCTGTTTCAATTGAGGCTTGTGCTTCTCCTTGTACCTTATTCATCACAGGTGATGAACAGCTAATAACTATTTCATGATAATGAGGTTACTTCTACTAAAGAAAGCTGTCATTAGGGTAAGGCTAAAGAGATGAAGGGCACCCTCTGGGCACCTCCAAATTCTGCTGGAGGTCCCTAGAAGCTTGTTTTCAAACTCTAGATTGGATGCTCTGTGTTAAGTCATTAATCTGTAGAGTGCCAGCTACTCTCGTGTGACTTATACAATATATAGGAAAAGGCCCCATCTGAGTGGGGGAGGGCAATGTCAACGCAAAGGGACAAAACACAACCTCAACTGCTGAGCCACACCAGTGCCTTCGGGCCATCCTACCTCGGCTGATGTTTATCAGAGTGGCCGTGGGCTTCATTAGCCCCAGCTCCCGTTTCCCAATCAGCTTGTGAGTCTCTGGGGACAGGTTGACCACCAGCACAACAAAGTCAGATTGCTGCAGCAAGTCGTCCATCTTCTCACAGTAGTGTGCACCAACTGCCTGCTCCTCTTCCCTTTTTCTGAGGGAAAAACACATCCCCAATTGACACAGCTACTTCAGCAATCACTCAGTCCTAAGAACTTAATACAGAGAGAGGCTTGAGGACAACATAAAGATGTACATAGGTGTGGATATACATAGGTGAAAAGGAGGAAGGGAAGGTGGGAGATGTGACAGAGGAATTAAGAGACATGAAGACTGGCAAGACCCTGGAAGCATCATGTAAATGTGAAAGCAAAGCAAGTGATATTAAGTATAGGAGGGTGAGGATGCTGTCAGCTCCTGTTCTTCCCCATGTCTGGCTGGGTCCTGTACACTCTTTTTGCTTGATGCACATGAGTTAGGACGTGGAGTTGAAAAGGAATGAAAGGGAAGTGAGGTCTGAGAGAACGGAGATACAAATGTGAGGAGCTCGGATCCCTGCCACGTGTGACAAGTGACCTGGCCAGGCAGGGCACGGGGGTGACAGGGCAGCCCAGCCGTGCAGCCAGAAGCCTGAGAGAAGAGGCTGGCAGGATAGGGGATACAGGAGAGGGCTCAAGGCCTGGACTGCCTGGGCTGCCTGACCAAACAGGCAAGCACCACTGCTGCTCCAGAGCTGCTAGGAGCTAAACAGGGAAGGGAAAGCTCAGAACAGTGACGGGGAGCTATACCCCAAAGACAGCAGTAGGGAACCAAAGCGAGGAGTGGAAGGCACGCTGGCATTCCTCATTTTCTTACAGCTGTCACATGAACAAGTACTTGGAAGCCTTGCAGGAACAGATGGGGTCTGTGATTTCTGCCACTGCACCTTCACCAACTACTCACAGGAAGCAAATGCTTTTACCTGCGGTTCCTGTTGTGGTAGAGAATCTTCATCTCAAAGGCTTTAGCCCTCTGAGCCACTTTGTAACCAATACTGCCCATTCCGATGATCCCCAGAGTAGCCCCGGTGACTTCAACTCCCAGCCAGTCAACAGCAAAATGCTCCGTGTCTGGAGAAATCGCAATCTGGCAGCCTGAATGTGAAAACAGTGGGGTGCAGGGGGGCAAACTGACTGTGAATTCAGGGCTGGCAATCATGGAAAAAAGTCTCTAACTATCATAAGCAGCAGTGTTCTGGGGCATTCCTTACCAAATACCTTATTTAGAGAGGACACATTTGGTTAGATAAGAGGGCTTAGATGTTGGTGCCATTCTCTGCAATAGGCAGACTGGGGTCAGTGACCCAGCGGGTTTTTCAAAATGTTTATTTTTGTGAGGAACAGGTCTTTGGGAAATTAATTCTTCCATACCTGTAATTGTCTCTCTGAGGTTTAAAAATGGTTTATTTGCCATTTAGCACCAAGTAGACATCTATTTCACTCTTTCGCTCGGGTAAAACTCATCATCTGTCTCAAACATCAGCCCAAATCTGCACCACTCCTTGCGCAGGGGTGAAGGATTTGGAAAGGCCGCCCAGGCAGTCTTTCACTGTGGGACACTGTAAGAGATTTTTGTAAAAAGAGCTCGAGGTCCAGTGAGACAGTGGGAACAGCAGGAAGACCTCAGGGGAAAGAGGTGTTACTTCATGCTCAGGGATGGAGCAGTGGTGGCAGAAACGGTGTGAGGCCCAGCCCAGAGAGACAATTACTGGTGACAGTCTCTACTGACACCTTCCTTCCCCTGAAAGGCACTGTGTAGCAAGGGCAGGTGCGGAAAGGATCCACTTGGGAGGGAACATGCTCATATTGATGGTCCAATCCATAGAGCTTGGATTAATTTTATCAAAAGGATCATCAAATGGTACTATTCTCTAAATAAACACCATTAATTTAGCTGATTTTTTTTCATAAGCAGGAAAGAATGAATTTATCTCTTTCCCACAACTATAAAAAGCTTGCCCAGCAGGCAGACAGTTGACAGTTACACCCCAGACATTACTCCAAATGGGGTATTTCAAATGCTTAATCTAGACAAAGGCCTTTCTATTGTCACCACTGTGGGGTGACACTTCATGAAAAGAAGTGAGGCATCTGAGAAAAGGCCAGAGAAGCACAGCCCTCTGAGAATGGAGTCCTCAGACCTCTCTTCCCTGCAAAAACATCCCAAAGATCCATTTAAGCAGATCATCTGTGTCATAAAAAATATGGGATATGCCAAATTAGTACCTAAGATCCAGGAAAAAAAATAAAACATTACCTTCCACCAGTCTTCTGGCAGACGCCAGCATCAAGGCCATTCCTATGTCTGCTGTTGAGTCAGCAACGGCTTGTGGGGTGTTGGTCACCTTTACCCCAAAGCTAGAAATCATTTTCACGTCCAAGTGATCCACTCCGACCCCGGAGTTGGCAATTACCTTTAAATTAGGCAGGCTTTCCAAGAGCTCTCGGTCAATAGTTGGCCTGCACTCAAACACGAAAACAGACTGGATTTTTTTGCTCATTTCTTTTTTGTTTGCAAGAAATTCCTTCATGGTGATAAGGCAGAAGTGTTTCTTCAGAAGCGCTACATGGTTTGCCAGCACCCCTTGAGTTCCTCCTATATCCAGAATCAAAACACCCGGCAACTCCTGTTCTGCCATGACCTGTAACGATAGGGAGCAAGAGAAATACTCCAGTCTTCAGGAGAACATCCTTGAAGGAATGCTACTAGTTATCATTTAAATTCACATCTATAAAACTTAAATTCAGGGGTCTCAATACAGCTCTTAAGGATACAGAGTAAATCCACAGTCACTTTATCTTTCCAGTATCTTCAGTACATGCTGGATCAGGCTCTAATATCAAGCAATATCCATCCCATTAAGTCAAAATCCAGTTTAAGTCCTACAAAGCATAGTTCTCAAGTGGTTTCATTTTAGTTCTGAATTCATATTGATTTCATTACTATCTGGCTGGTTCTCAGTCTCCTTTTTTTCTTTTTTAATATATATCTATAAACAGTGGTATGAAGCAGAGTCTGATATAAAGTTGCCTTAAGTTTCTTGACTTTTGATTAAATCAAAATCTTGATTTTGATTTGAAGCAGCACGCTGATTAATTCTGGGCACAAAGTGCTCGGCAGAAACTTCTTGCTGCCCTGAATGTCTCTCACAAACGTGCAGAATTAACCAGCCATTCAGACCTGACATACTACAAAATGTTACCAAAGCAGATTACACATTTCGGATGAGGTGGGTTATCCCCTCGTCCTGAGCAAACCCAGCCTTACCTCAACTGCATCACTTAAAGAATTACAGCCCCTACACTAGCAATACTGCTTAATTTCTGGCTTTGTACTGGCGTTGATGTGCACTTCTGCCTCAGCTGCCGTCTGCTATTGCTCCCTGGCTAGGATGGGTCTCGGTGCGGCAGCGTCTGCCGCTCATCCCAAGCAGTTTATCTGGGAATAGCAGCTGGTTCCGAACAACAAACACAGCAGTGCAACGAACAACGCAGCCTCATACAAAACGCAGACAAACAAACCAAAAGATCTAATTATTTCTTCCCAAGGGAAGTTTTTTGAATGCTGCCAGCCTCATATGGCTGGAAAAAAAAATAGGCAAAATTTCTCAGTCAGTATTTCATAAAGTATCTCGCAAAATGACCTTCTAAGGATAAATCAAAATCATCCTCCAGAATTAACCATGAGCAGAATAAAGGGCAAAATTTAATGTCCGTCTTACTGCAAGGGCAGTGTCCAACTTCTCGAGGAGCGCAACCGGATGACACTGCTGCTGTTTATTCCGACCGGGTGGCAACTACACTTGCAGTGTTGGGTGAAGGATGGAAACCTGTCTGGGTGCCAGATACCACCAGCCTGCAGCAGACACCAGGGGGGCCGCACTGCGTTACAGCATTTGCAAAGTTTTGTCACCACTTGCTCCTTCACTACAACAGCCACCCGAGAAGGCCAGAGCCATTTATTTTAAACAACATTTATTTTAAAAGCTCTTTCTGAATTTCCCAAGCCAGATGGTGACTCGTGGGGAAGCTCCCGTGCAACACACTGAAGGCTGATTTGGGTTTCAGCCAGCCAGGCTGTACATTAAAACAAGGTAGTCACATATAAACTCCCATCTCAGCAGCACAGGGACACTGAGTGCATCACAGTTTCAGCTGCTTTTTGATGTGCGTGTTAATTATTAATAGATTGCAGTTCTCGTTCAAAGACTGGGCTTCTTTTAGCACCAAGTGCAATGAGTGTTTTAAAAAAAAGGTACTGATAGCAGTAAAGTAAAAGCAATAAAAGAAATCTTGTGCCGGGCAGGGGTCTCTCCAGATACTAACCTTGGTCTGAGGGACATGTAAGGCTCTTCCTCCAGCACTACTCGGGCCTGTGCTGTAGCGCTGCCTGCAATCCACATTCCTCCTCTTTTGACACTGACGCACATGAGAAGTAAGAGCTGGATGAACGAATTTGCAAGGCAAACGGGGCTGGCCACCCATCAAGTGGAGAGATTGTAACAGACCAAACGCTCTGCCCCTGAACATAATTTTTTTTCGGATATCAGGTGTCCTGTTGAATGTGTTAAATGTAACAGCTGTTAAGGAGATGACAGCTTTGGTTTTGGACTAGTAATCTGCAGCACTGCTGCCTCTCTTAACTCTTTCTAGAGCTGTGCTCATTTTCTGTCTGCACAAAATGGCTTTCATTGATGTATACACACAGAACGATGCATATTGAAATAACGTGTGTATATTCTGGTCCTTCAACACCGCAGGGACAACAAAGGTCAGACAACAGAGCTGTGCTAGCGTCAGTGTCCCTGTCTTCCCAAGCTTCCTCGCCACTTTTGCGGATCTTGACTCCCTGCTTTCAGACGCGTGGGCTGCCACTGCTGCATCCCCAGGCTTACCTCGGCGACAGCAAAACAAGGGATTCCTCCTGGCTCTGTTTCCAATTGAGGCTAAGAGTGTGAGTTATCCAGAGTCAATCTCGCCCACCACCAATCTGACAGCGGAAGAAAGCGAGTCCCCGGGAGCGCGGCGCGAGGATCAGTGTGGACGGGCGGCCCGGGAAGGCCGCGCTGCTCCCGCTGCGATCCCAGCCGTGCCCCGCTCCGCCACGCGGCAGCACGGCCCGCCAGCCCTGCGGGGGAGGGATAATTCTTTTCCAGGGAGCTCTGGCGTTTCCGCGGCCACGCTACGTGCGGGAAGGCCCCGTGCCGCGGCAGGGCCCGTCCCCAGCGGCCTCGCTCGAGCCGGGGGCGATCCCGTTCCTTTCAGTCAGAAGCGCTGCAGCTCCCGGCGCCCGCCTCCCGCACGGGAACCTTTGAAACGGGCTCAAGCGCGCGCCTGCCAACGGGCGGGCCGGCGACGCCCCCTCAGCGGCCAACTGCATCCCGCAGCCCAGCGACGGCGACGCCAGCGCCGGCGGCAACGGCTGCTGCGCGAGCCCAGGGCCGGGGCCCGCGGGAACGGCCGCCCGGCTGCTCCCGCCCGCGGCAACGGCCGCCCGCGCGCGCGCCCCTCGCCGCCTTGGTACGGCCCGAGGTGGAGCCTCCCCCCCGCCCCTTGGGGGACTTGGTACGCGCCAACGGCTCCCGGCCCGCTAATCAGGGCGGAAGCTCGGTTGGCTCCGCCCCCTTTCCGGCGTCGCGCCTGGCGGATTTCGTCACTTCCGTTCCGTGCGCAGCGGTGCGGTTGTTGTCCGTTTGCCGAGCGAAGGAGGCCCCAGGGGTGCGGAGCGGGGGGAGGGGGGGAACGGGAGGCGGCGCGGAGAAGGTTCTGGAAGGGGTTCGGGAGCGGGGCGGCGCGGAGAAGGTTCTGGAAGGGGTTCGGGAGCGGGGCGGCGCGGAGAAGGTTCTGGAAGGGGTTCGGGAGGGGGGCGGCGCGGAGAAGGTTCTGGAAGGGGTTCGGGAGGGGCGCGGCGCGGAGAAGGTTCTGGAAGGGGTTCGGGAGGGGCGCAGCACGGAGAAGGTTCTGGAAGGGGTTCGGGAGTGGCGCGGCGCGGAGAAGGTTCTGGAAGGGGTTCGGGAGTGGCGCGGCACGGAGAAGGTTCTGGAAGGGGGTCGGGAGGGGCGCGGCGCGGAGAAGGTTCTGGAAGGGGTTCGGGAGGGGCGCGGCGCGGCCGTCGGCGGGTGGCGCTTGGGCCGGGCCGTGTTTCAGGCGCCGGCGCTCGCTGTGCCCCCGCAGGCCCGCCTGCCCGCCCGCCGCCATGTCGTACATGCTGCCGCACCTGCACAATGGCTGGCAGGTGGACCAGGCCATCCTGTCGGAGGAGGACCGCGTGGTGGTGATCCGCTTCGGGCACGACTGGGACCCCACCTGCATGAAGATGGATGAAGTGCTCTACAGCATCGCCGAGAAGGTGCGCGGGCGGTTCTGCGCCGGGGGCAGCAGCAACGCTGCTCCCTTCGCCTCCCCTAAAATCTATCGGCCGCCCAGTTTGCTGTGTTTAATGGGGCAAAAAGAGGCCACGTGTCCTGAAGGCCGCATCCCTGCTCCCTAATAAGGCCTCGTTCAGTGACGACAGGCTGGCATTCGAGCAGAAACACGGGCTGGGTAACAGGGATGCTGTGGTTCTAGGTAATGAGGCACTAGCAGCTTACCCCTGGAGGAGCAGTAGCTTCGGATTCGCCTTTGATTGATCTAAAAAGCTTTTTCCACATGGATACTGAAAAATGGTGAGGATCAAAAAAGTGCAGGAAGCTGCTGATCAACAGTGATACTTTCATGATAAATGAGCGCTCTTCTGTTGAGTTCCATGGAATGAATTAAGTTTTAGGACATACTGAGGCAAACCCTGAAGTTTTTTCAGATGGAAACAGTGCCTTCTAACAACTGGTCGCTCACTTTAGATAGGTACACACTGAACAAGGATTGGTCTCTGTTAGCACACCCAGCTAGAATCAGCTATAATTCACTTTTTTATGTCCTTGATGAGGTTGCTGTTGGATGATGAAGTTGACAGCTATTCTTTGAACCACATAGAAAAGGAAGCCAAAAACCTGAGCCACAAATGTTAATATTTAAGCTTAGGCAAGAGAAGGAGTTAGGTGTCCTCATGTAAAGCTGTGTGCTAGTTATGTAATCATAACTAGGTGTGCAGTTGTGTTCATGGTTCTTTCTCTTTTAGTGGAATTTTTAAGGAAAGAAGCTTCTCTTTCATATCCCTATGTTTAAAGACCTCTACCTCTAGTCGTAGGTTAAAATGTAATAGGATATAATAGGATACAGGAAGAACTGCCATGGTATGGTGTAATTTGGTCATTTTATAAAGGTGGGAGTTTCTTATCGTCAGATACAGTTAGTACCTACTCTTGGCGGCGTGTTTGGCAATTTGACAGACATATTGGCACTTAAGGGTGAATGGGGGAAGAAAGAACAAGATAACTTTTTATTTAAAAATCTCCCTCTGCAGAAATGGCAAATTAAAGAGGGAGATCCTTCCTCATCCTCTTGCTTACAAGCCATGTTTGGATCTCGCAGCTGTTTAAAAGAGTGAGTAAAAGTTCCAATTGTACAGGTGCTTATAGTAGAGAATAAAACAGAATGCTAGCGTACTGTAACTGCATGCTACATTTGAAGAAATGTAGCTTTGATTTATATTTGGTATCACGGTGTGTTATTTTTTAAATCTGCAGTATATTTTTGAGTAGCGGTGGTGTTATTTATCTGTACTTCATAATATGAAAATAGGATTTTTTTGGTATTGTTTGGAGAAAGAGAAACTGGAACAACATACAAAAATACAAAGTGCATAGATTTCACTGATATTTACTTAATTTTAATCTACTTTTTTCCTTGTTTTACATGAGTGAAGGAAACAGGATTTCACTCGGTTTCACAAGAAATTATAGCTGTAAAATGTCTTTGTTTAAAATCATACTAAAGAAAAGCCTACGAACTGAGTTGTGCAAAGATTCTCTGAAGCACTTTCTTTATAAAAATGCTTTTTAAAAATTGCATTTTACAATAAGCCTATCCAGTGAAACATGCAGCTTTGACTGCTAAATTTATATAGTACCTTTTTTTTCCAGAAATACTTGTTTTTAGTAGTATTTTAAAACCACAATTTGTTGAGAACTGAATAATGTAAATCAGATGACCTGTCTTCAAGCCAGGTCACTTTGAACAGGTTGTAGAGGGTCAATGCTGGTTTAGGGAGGATCATTCCAATATATTGCAGTTACTTAATGATAATCAGAAGTGTGAATAGCTGTGCCTGACGCAAACATTAGTTATTCCTCTTTGCCTTTCTGTTAAGATCACAAGATAGATGAGAGGAAGAGAACGGAGTGAAGTGGTCTGTAGAAAATATGTTGGTATTGTGGTCGCTGATGTTTATAATTGAAGTTGAGCAAAGCTTTCATTTACTCCTGTCCAGAGTTTTCAAGCTTGTTAACCTCCAGCATTGCCTTTGGCAGGATGTCATCTTTCTCTTCAGCCCTATAAATGTAACACCTGAATTGCAATAGCACAGTCAGATTGGCGTGGGGAGTGAACGTTGGTAGAATAAACCTTCAGCTTGGTGCTACTGTGCAGTCTCTTTCAGTTCACCGATACCAGCCTGCTAGGCTGCTTCAGCTTGGATAAATTACTGCAAAAAAAAAAAAAAAAATTCTAAATTACTGTATCTTTCACCTGTGATTTCCATGTCCATAAGACAGCTAAATGTTAGAAACATCATCTAGGAACAGGTGAGGAAGGTCAGAAGGAGGCATTTTTGGATCTCTTTCCAGATTTGCTTGAAAGTTTTCTATATGCACCCTGGGTTGCTCTTTGCCATAAGCTAATACAGGGTCCTGAGACTAATTTCAGAAGGAGTGGAAGTTTTAGCACACTTGCTTACCTTCACTAGAGATGTAAGGAAACTCCCTGTGATTATTAATATTCTTCATCATCCTTGTGGTATTTTGAATATCTTTTTGTCAGGTTCATGTTCCAGCAATTTTCCAGAATGATATTGTTTATTAAGAGTAGAGGAGGGAGAACTTTGGAGGAGAAGTGTTCTTTATTCTATCTAATACGTTATTTTTTTCCCTTACCTCTGTTTTCCCATTTTTCAGCTAAGTATGATCTTTACAAGACAGAATTTATGGAATGTGTGTATTAAGTTCAACTTTAGTACTAAGGAACTTGCAGACCTCTCTGCTTTCTTGTCCTGATTCAGTTTAAAAATTGGTACTTACCAAAACAGATACAGTTCTGTAAGTTATTAAAATACTGGCCTGCAACTATGGCCAGGCAAAAATATACTTGTGTTCTCTGTGTATACCTCTTGAATAGCGTAGCCTAGTCTGTGAAGTTGCAGCCAAAACTAAAGCCTTGACTTTATAAGCAGGCTTATAAAGTCTTGAAAGTTGTGGGGTTTGGTGTGTGTGTTCCCCCCGCACTCCTATTTTTCCCCCATGGTCAACAGCAGCTATGCTGGCCTAGTCAAGCGGAGGAGGCTTTGAATTGAACAGTACATCAAGTCAGTTTTTTGGAAATAAATGCTTTGAGGTGTTAGTATCTTGTTTGTGTTCCTGTTGAAAGTGTTTTTAATTTTCAGGAGTTGGGGAAGCAGGATCTTGTCCAAAAGGAGGTATTAACCAGTATTTTTCTTCAGAAAGGCATTTACTTACTCCAACAGATTTACTGTATTCACTGTTTGTTAAGAGATGTGGCATTCAGAAACAATTTTGAATAAGCTTGTATTATTATGTGTTCAGCTTCTTAAAATGTCATACTTGGGTTTTGCATTGTCTGGGTATAAAAGCTTCAGCTTACATTAACAACCTCCTTAGCGTTAGAATTGTACTATGCACAGAACCACAGGGTAGTTGAGGCTGGAAGGGACCTCAAGAGCTCATCTAGTCCAACCGCGCCCTGTCCAGCAGGGACACCCAGAGCACGGGGCACAGGGCGGCATCCAGGCGGGTTTGGAAGATCTGCGGAGAAGGAGACTCCACAACCTCCCTGGGCAGCCTGTGCCAGGGCTCTGGCACCCTCTCAGGAAAGAAGTTCTTCCTCATGTGGAGATATAACTGTCCGTGTTTCAACTTAGGTCCATTGTCCCTTGTTCTATGTAACAGGCTTCCTCAGAGTTGTTTTTAAGTCTTGATCAGAGATCCCTGTATCACATCCCAGGTTACACTTTAATTTTTTTTGTCTCCTCTGAGATGGCAGAGAAGCTTTTTGACTATGGGGATACAATTTTGAGCAGACAGCTCCGGGTGATGGATTCATGCTCCAGGTATGGGGAGAGAATGAGCTTTGGTTTGTCTCTGTAGCCTTGGTATGGATCAGCTCTTCCCATGCCAGGTCAGGTCCAGGGCTGCTTGAACTACTTTGCCTCAAACCAAGCTTGAGCTAGACAAGCCTGGTGGATTCAAGCTGGCTCTGCATAAAGCCAGCTCGGGTGCTCTGTTCTTCTTGGGCCCAGTGTTGAGTCTGGGATGGTTTGTGCTCCTGCAGCCAGCAGAGCTGTTCAATACCGGGCAGAGTTGCTCTGCGGGGCTTGTCCAAGGTGATGCTGAAATAAAATGCTTCTTGGTGAGAAGTCTGACAGGTCTGAAATGGCCACTGAAGAGTAGATGCATGACCACTGCCATTATTTTTATTTAACCAGCTTCATTTAAAAAAAAGTAGTTAAAAGGAAAAAAAGACACATAGAGGAAGGCACAAGGAAGGCCCTTCTAGCCTATGAGCTTTCATGAGTGAACAAGTGGCTGACAATGGAGGCAAAAAGTGTCATCCAGCTCCCACAGAGCATTTACTCTACTTGTTTGGAACTGTGCATGTTATTGCAGTGTCTCAGTTGTCTGCAAAGGGCACTTGTTTCCCTAAATGTAGATGTGTTTTGTTTAGCATAGTTACTTCCTGGTTGATACTAGATGCAAAATTGGCGTCTTGCCTGTATTTAAATGGATTTTCCACATTAATGGTTTTTTTCCGGATCGAAGAGTGGCAAGCCTATTTATCATGATTTCATGTGTTAATGTTTTGCAAAGTAAACATTGCAATAACAAAAGCCTATGTCTTTTAATCAGTAATGTGAATAACCAAAGACTTGGTAATATGTATTACTTTATTTCCTGTTTTCTTCTGTTTAGGTAAAAAACTTTGCTGTTATTTATCTTGTGGACATCACCGAAGTACCAGACTTCAACAAGATGTATGAGTTGTACGATCCCTGTACGGTCATGTTTTTCTTCAGGTACGTAATCATTCTGGAAGAAAATTCATTTGAATGTGTTTGGGTGTTTTTGTGCGTCAGATGCAATGTCTCACTAGAACCATATTTCCTTTCTGAATACATACCAGCATATTGATATTTACATTGATGTTATTCTAGAATAAATTGATTGGAATGTAAATGGAGATACTTTGTTTTCCAGTTAGTCTAGTAACTTCATTTTGATAAGACATTAATACTTGTGTCACTTCCTAAGCCATGATTGCCTGCAGTCCAAGCAAATCAAAATAGTGCATCTATAAAATATTTTTTATGAAATTTAATTACTGAGTAGAGGTGATATGAATGTACATTTACTATTTTAGTACAAAATAGTGAAAATGAAAACTTTGTACTCAACCATTTTTTTCCATAGTTATAAATCTGAAATTCTCGGCAGACATTGCTGCAGGAGCATGGCCCTCAAGCTTGTCAAACTTGCTTTAAAGGTCGATCCTAAGTATCTCAAAGGCATCTCCTTGGAGATGAAATGGACTACTGGCAGTCCTGGAAATATCTCTGCAGAGGTAGATGGCAGTAAGAAAGAAATGAAAACTTCGGAGAATACAGCACAGAGGATAATAGTGCTGAGTAATGATGTTGATGCAGAGCTTGTTCTAGCTTCAGAAATAGTCAATACCGAAGTAAATACTTTCGTCTTGGGCTTACTTGAAATTCTGTTTGTGTTCTGAAGGCATTTATCTATTTATTTATTTAATTTATTTCCTACAAATCATGGGTGGGGAAAAGAGTTTAGCTTTCATGCCCTGAAATATAATAGCATATTAACCTGTCTTTTTTTTTTTCTCTCTCCCATTAAAGGAACAAACACATCATGATTGATTTAGGCACAGGTAATAACAACAAGATCAACTGGGCGATGGAAGATAAGCAAGAGATGATTGACATTATAGAAACTGTTTATAGAGGAGCCCGCAAAGGTCGAGGTTTGGTAGTATCACCAAAAGATTATTCCACTAAATACAGATATTGATGTTTTCTTAGTATTTTCTTTTTTTTAACCCACATTCACTTCATTTTTTCTTTGTGTATGTGTGTACATATTATGTATATATTTAAAAAAAACTACAATTTTGTGAGCGTAGTTGGCATTATTTAAAAACTTTGAATTCTGTTTGAAATAGTAGAAGACATGAAACCTGGAAATGCCCAATTGAGAATACTGTAGCTGCATTTTATAAAATTAGGACTTGACTCTGTCCACTATGATGTATTTTTTTACATGAAAAGCCTATTTGCAGAAAAACACTTCAACTGTATTTATCTGCTTTTGTTATGCAGATATCGGGGACGATTGTATTACAGCTTTTTTTAAAGTAATAAAATGTGTTCCCTTATTTTTCTGTCCTTTCTCAAGTGCTTTAAAGTTGAGAATGAAAATGTAATTCCATGCATTATCATGAGCTTGAAGATGAAGACTTATCCCTTTGAGCAGGATTTTCTTGCACAGTAACTTTGTCTTTCACATCCATTAGATCGTAGGACTTAGTCATATTTAGCGAGGGTATGAGGTTTCCATTTGCATTTTTGAAAATTCCTCTCCTGTAGTAATGTACTCTTTTTTTCTTTTTTAACTCCTGATTGTAGAGAGCTACAGCATTAACAGTAACTGGACTATGCAGAAGAGATGCTTGTATTTTGGGTTCAGTTTGTGACCAGACTATGTTCAAAACAGAATTGCAAATGGTATTTCTGCTGTCAGTTTTTGACAAAAGAGTGAATATTATTCAAACTCCCTTAAAGGTGTTATCAAATTTGATGCAATTCTTAGGTCTAGCACACAATTATTTATTCGTAGAGAGTTGCTTCCATGATTAATTCCAAAATCTATTAAGAACTGACTGAATGCATAAAGTTTAATACTGTCTCTTGCCCATCTTTGGAGGTGGTTAGGGGTTTTGTACTCGAAACATTCCCAGTCATGACAAGGCTACTCTACAGTATAATCTGGCCTAGGGAGATCATGTTAGTTGGTGACAGAAGAGCATGTTCAGACTTACAGCCTTCCCACCTATCCTTTACCACTCATCTTGGTACCTGCTATTGAATATCTTCCACTTTCGCATCAAAACAGGCCCCTTTTTATTTACTTTTATTTATCATAGCTTACAGTGCTTGTGTCCACACTATATAAAGGAAACAAAATCCATGTTGGGTGTAGTGTAAAGTGCCTGTTCTGACAGTCTACTTGCCCCATGGAGAAGGAGCAGTCCATGAAGCCTGCTGGATCTTCCTCTGTTCCGAGGGAGGCTCTTGACCCTTCAGCTTGTGGCCTCAGAACAGCAGTCGTGTCTTCCAGCACATCAGCCTCTCTCCCCTCTTCAGCCTTGTTTGCAAGTCTACTCACACTAAAGTGTTGGTTATAGCTACCTCTTCATGAAGTAGTAACCTACGATGGACTTTAAATAGTAAGTTTAAAAATGACGTTTTAAAGAAAATTATCCTTAATGAGGTGTTTGTTTACCCCATCCTCAGTTCCATCTTCATTTTCTGGATATGTCGTTAAGACGCTAAAACTTGCCTTACTAAAAAATGATTTTTGGGGAGGAGGTGAATAAGAATCAGAAAGTTAGGGCAGATGTTCTAAATTTAAGACATGCTACCCATGTCTAAATTTAAGACAAGCAGAAGAAAGCTCAACATTTGGTAACTAGAATTCCTATTTCAAAGCCAACTACTCTTCAACCCAATTATTCTTCAGAACAAGCTCTTTTCATCAAAGTGTTGACCAAAATCAGCAAGATGTACACACCTAGGTGTTGTTTATATACATGGGTGTACATTGCTTTTAGGTGGGCTGGTAGTAAAAGGATCAACTGAACCAGCAGTACCCTTTCAGTACAGAACACTTAATATTCACTCAACATAAATCAAAATTGGTGCTAAGGAACATTTGCAAGAATATAAAATAGGTTATATATTCAACATTTATGTCTGCATTTTGCAATATACAAATCTAAAGGAATATCAAGCAGGCATGCAGAAAGGGGGTAGTTCTTTTTATGGAAGCACTTTGTTATTTACAAACAGTTAAGTTAAAAAAGGCAATAAAAATATCACATGTTAATGATGATAGTATCAGAATAAAGGAAATAGCCTTTCAGGTTTTTTTTCAAATTTAAGAAAGTATAATTTACTCCTTAGGATGCAGTTTTCTATCCTAAGTGTTACTTATTTTTTTGTCTCCTCTCAAAGTTGTGGTTCTTTCTCAAGTATATTCTTCTCGGTAGGACATCATTTGATAAACCCAGTGTTTTAACACTTGTTCTGAAGAATGAAGAAAAAATGCTGACACAAGTGTTGGTTGTCACTGGCACTTTGAGACTAGTGACACTGATTGCAGATGATGATACAGTCCCAGATTCAGTGCTCTGCTGTTTCCCTTCATCTTTCCTCATCACAGCCTCATTTCAGTGCTGCAAAGAAAGTAAGTAGGTTAAGGGCGTCTTTAATTATTCATGAGTGCGATTCTGCATAAAAATATGAACATGTCTCTACAGTTTACTGTATGAGATGCCCTTGTATATTTGTGAAAGGGATTTCACACTCTGTAACAAAGAGAAAGTCAACAGAATTAACAGATGCCTAAAATACTAAACAATGTTACAGGTATTTCTTTCTGTTCTTGTGTAAGCAGCCTCTGAATGATTGTAACAACCCCTTGTCTCAGTCTGAATTAGCAAAGCTTGCAGCAACAGGAAGCGGCTCTCACCAGCACCTAGGGAATGCTGAAGGAATAAATATTCATAAATCCTGAAAACACCAACTGAGGCATCCGCTGCGCGTCTAGAGAGGAGAACTTCATCAGTTCTCCAGTATGAGCACGCAGTCACGGCACCTTGGCAGTCCTGAACTGCGCTGTGGTTTTGCATTACCACGTGTTGGACAGCACTGCCCAAGTTCTCCGTGGGGCTTCCACCCGCGCACCTTACTGCTTCTAGGCCAAATCACTGCTCACTGTTCCGGGCACGGGTGCTGACACGGAGTGCTGTAAGCCACATCAGAAGGCTGAAGCAGTGTTAAAGAGAGAGAAATAAAAATTTAAATGAGATAAAATTCCTCATGCTCGCGCACCCAAGGGGCAGAACAGACAGGCAGCAGTGCTTTAAGACGCTTTCCCCCCATCCTTCCATTTAAACAAATGCACAGCCCCAATTTACATCTCCAGGGTTAGTTTGCACTACTTCTATCTGCCAAACTGGTGTAAAAGTTGCAGCAAGATACAGTTTGCATTCATTTACAAAAAAAAATATATTCTTAAGCTACTGGTAAAAACAAATCTGAGATGATAATAATTAAAAAACTCAGTGCATTTTAAAATCCAAACAAAGGCAGTAATGAACATAAATTTCATGCTAGGTGCTGCCTGTATTTGAAAACAAAGTAGAGCTGCCTAAAACGCAGAGCTGCTCCATTCGTTTACCCTGCAGCCCTGAGCGGTGCTTTCTATGCCAGCCTCTGCCATGAGCTCGGAAACGTGCTTCTCCAGGTTCTCGATGCGCTCGCCCATTTCTTCCAGTAAGAAGTTAAGGAGAACTCGTTACAAAATTCATGATTTTGCTATGAAAGAAAAAAAAAGAAAAAAAACCCTTTTCCACACTCATTTGGTCACCTAAACCAGAGAGATCAAGCCAGGTCCAGTGACGCAACGGCAGCTGACTCCCTTTTAAGCGTTACGAAACTTCTGCCGGTAAACGCGGATTAAAGAAAGAGGATATTTCTCAGCGTTATCTTCTCGGTCAGAGCTTGAAAATTCTCCTGCAGCTCATACAGCCGGTTTTCTGCCTGCAGGAAGGAAAAAAAAAAAAGAAAAAAAAGAGGGGGGCACAGAAAAACTCCGCACCGAGTGGGGAGGGCAGTAACGCGCTCCGGGACTCGGGGCGGCCGCCCCGGGCACCCCCGCGACACGACGGGACGCGACAGGACGCGGGGCGCCGGGAGCCCTCGCACGGTGCCGCCCGCCGGGCGCCCTTCCCGCCGGGCGCTTCCCCTCGCGCCACGGAGCCGCCCCGCACTCACCAGCTGCGCGAGGTGCGCGGCGCCCGGCGGCTCCGCGGCCGCCATGTCCCCTAGCCGCCCGCGCCGCCCGCGCCGAGCCGGGCCGGGCCGGGCCGGGCCGGGGCGGGCAGGTGAGCGCGGCCCCGCCCGCCCGCAGCCGCCCCGGGCCCGGCCGCACGGGGCCGGTTCGGGCCGGTTGGGGCCGGTCTGGGCGGCGCGCGCGGGTCGCCTCAGCGCTGGTAGAAACGCTTCAGTACCCGTGTCGTGGACGCGGTGCTTCAAAACATAAATAAATAAATATTTTAAGTAAAAGCATTGAGTCGGGTAAAAACGCATGATGGGCACAAATGCTCTTCAGAGAGCGCTTCCCTCTGGGCGCGCCCTCCAAGCGTGGGGCTGTCTCGGTGGGATTTGATCATGGGTGTCACCACCATAACCTCGCACGGAGCAGTGATTTGGGGTACATCAGCAGCATCCGAAGGGAATCGGCCTTGGCGTTTTCCACTCTTCCCACAGGAAAACCGTGGGAAGAGCAGGCTGAGGGAAGGAAAGGTACCGGTGCTGCAAACACCCAGCTTTGGAGCGCCTGGATGGGTCATCGCTAATTAAACTGCACAGAAGAGCGCTAATCCTGCAGGAAATTGCTTGCGTGCGCTGCAAGGTGACTCTTTGCCAAGTTACATGCTGTAACACGCGGGCAGGATTACTGCCTCCCGCGGTGACTTGCCCAGTAATCCTCTCATTTGTCCAAACGCACGATTTGCGTTCGATAGGCTTTGGGGGGATAGTCGAGTTAGAAAAAGTAGGTGGCAGATGGGTTTTTGTGTTAATATATGTGTAAAGTGATAGTGAAACACCTTGGAAATGTGGAGCTGCTTCTTTGCTGTAGGTCTGTGAAGGTATAGCAGAGCTAAAAAGGTGGTTTTGTAGATTGTTACATGCTTGTCAAATGACTGCAGCTCTGGTTAAAGGACTATTAAATGTAATCTGAATGTGGTATTCCTATATTTTCCGGAGAAATTGTAATTCTGCAGAACAATAATTAAATGAGGATGCTGGGATTTGACCTTCAGGGTACTATAACTTCACAGAATTTAAAAGTGTAAAAATGCTTGTCTGCCAACAAGGTCCAAGCTTTGCTTTTTGTAAGGTCTGCTTTCTTACAGAAATAGTCTCATATGACACAAAAATACCTGCACTTGCTGAAGTGCCTCGCACCAAAATGCCTAAATAGACCTGGGCTGAGGCAGCAGCAGAATTGCGTGGTGCCTCTTAGTCACGATAATATTTAGGTCATCCCTGTGTTTTTCAGCTTTGCAGCCTGGAAAGGTTCTGTGCAGCTACTGCAAAGATCTTTTTCATTGTGTGTGCAAAGCGTCCTGGGCTCTGTAGCTGCTGCCTTACATAAATGACAAGGTTTTCAGCTTGCTGTGCCTAATAGTTTGGGGGAGTATCACTGTGGGGTGATAGCTTCTCCTTTCTTGGTCTCATGCTTTATAGATGAACCAAACACATTACAGTGCCCTAGCCCATAACAGCTTTTTCTGCCGAGTTACTGGTGACCTTAAAAGCTGGCAAGGTTCTCTCTTGTGCTTCTACCATTTAGTACTTTTTTTTTTTTTTTTTAAATGAACATAATTGGTTTCCATCTTGACCTTGCCCATCTCATTTAGGGAGGAGTGATACAGTAATCTCTGTGTTGAAATTCTGCTCTCAACGCAAACCTCTGCATTTTCATCCCCCCTCAATCCTTGCTTCTCATTGGTCTTCCTTACCTTCCCACCCTTAGCCTCTTTTCAGTGGTGGCCACTGATAGGGCTAAAGGAAACGGCCACAAACTGAAGCACCAAAAGTTCCATAGGAACTTAAGGAAAAATATCGTGACAGAGTCCTGGAACAGGCTGCCCAGAGAGGCTGTGGAGTCTCCTTCTCTGGAGATCTTCCAAACCTGATTGGATGCCGCCCTGTGCCACATGCTCTAGGTGACCCTGTGTGTGCAGGGCAGGTGGACTAGATGATCTCCAAAGGTCTCTTCCAACCTTAGTGATTCTATGATTCTCCTCCTTGGCTTTTTCTTTGTAGATAAAAAAAAAGATGTTTTTTTTTCAGACCTTGAGTGATGTAGCAGTGTTGCCACGTACTGCAGGGGAGCAACAAGGGCCGTGTTTCAGCACAGCGGCCCATGCAGGATGTGCAGCCAGGTGCTAAGGGAGCCTGAGCAAAAATCGCCGAGGTCACTAGCAGGTCCTTTTCTTTCTTTTTAAAGGCAGAGGTTTAGGCAAGAACTAGTAATGGAGCAGTGCTGCTGGAGCTTGTAAGAGGGTTAGGCGAAGTAAGTGAGGAATGCTTTGCTGAAAGGGTGGCAGGAGGTTCATGCTGGTAGCAAGTATAAAACAGATCTTGAGGGGGCTAGAGAGGGGGGTGGAAGAGAAGACTGACATATATAAATTCACTTGCTGTGCCAAAATAGGCTTTCTTAGGGAAAAAAATAAAAGACTTCTAGGCACTTTCAACTTTAAAACATCTTCATCTTGGTGCAAAACCCGTGAAGGCTTTGATGAAAAATAAGATGGCCTGGAAGGCCGTGAATCATCTGCTTAAATCTGGATGGTGGTGGGCCTTTGCTGTGGGCTCCCCAAGCAGGGCTTTTATGCTGAGATGATACCAGAGCTTGTGGACAGAGCTTGCCTTGCTCTTTCTGGGGAAATTCCAGCCGCTCTCATTCTGGAAGCCTGGTTGGGGTAGTGGGGTGGGAAATGCAAATACGCATAAACGTTCATAGTTCAGGGCTCTAAGTTCAATGCCATTCCTATAAAACGACGTGCTGTAAAAGCCTGTGGGATGGAGAGATACAGGAACTGTTTGTTACAGCATGTGTTATTCCTGTAATTTCAGTGCTATGTAAAGTCACTCCTTGCTGCCAAAGGGGATGTGGTTTATCAGGGGTCAGGAAACCTCTGTCCGTGTATTCCAAGCGTGTCAGTGTTAGGGCCGCTTTGGAAAGGGGGCAAGGACCAGCACCACAACTGATTCATTCAGCTTCTCAGGCAGGAGGCTCCGTTTGCTGACGGGCAGGAACGCAGCTATTCCTGAGGCCTCAAAGCGCAAGTGCAGCTGCCTGGCTTTGCATCAGGAGGCAACGTGTGCAGATCACGCTGCACTCATGGGCTCTGTTCCTCCCTGTGTTAACAGCATGGACACAAACAGCTGTGAAGGGCTTATCCTGGAGGGAAAGGACCAGGCACAACCTGGTTCTGGCACCACAGCAGCGGTGCTGCTGCTGCCAGGTTGTAGGGTTGAGTGCTTGAGTCGCCCTGCGCTTGGTCTTTATCTGTCCCCAAGGAATCACAGAATCCTTAAGGTTGGATGGGACCTCTAGAGGTCATCTAGTCCAGCCCCGCTGTGCACGCAGCATCACACGTTTCCCTTAAGTTTCCCTCAAGTTTCCCTTCCTTCCTGAGGAAGTTCCCCTTAAGTTTGGGGGTTACAGTTGTTACTCGGGACACCATACATAAAAGAAGTGTGTGGCTTTGCTGGGCCATCAGGTTGTGTATGTAGAAATCCTAAATGGTGCCGATGCTTCTTGCAAGTGAAGCACTTCCCTGTTTGTCTTGACTCGCTGCAGTCCAGTTCACCGAGAGCTTGTTCCCTGGAATACTTGCACAACAACTTTTCTTTCGTTCACTAGCATCAGTAGCAGTACTGTGTTGTTGCTCTTAAAAAATAAGGGTGGATATGGTGAGTGAAATGCAAATGGGGAAAGTTTCACACGTGGGGAAAGAGGCATCCAGGTCATCAGTGTCTGGTGAACCCAGGGCTTCTTTGAAAGACAAGCCATTAGGGGTGAATATTAGACACTTGGGTGTTTGTGCATCGCTTGAAATTCAAACCCAGTATTTTTGAGGGGAAAGAAAGCCCTCACAATGACAGGGAAATCTGATGGACACGTTCCGAGTTCAGTGAAATTGTGTTTTGAGTTTGCTTTTGAGACTGCTCATGAATCCCCTTATTGTGGGGCCTCTCCAGTCAGCTCTTGGTGCTTTTGGTGCTGAAAGCTGGAACGCTGGTGGCCCGCCTGCTTCTCCGGCTTGCTTCTGTGAATTATCCGTGGCAGATGGAGCTGCCGAGACTATGACAGGCATTTTACACTGTTCGACTGCTGGAGGTGGCCCTCCCACCCGTACATTCTCTTAATATATAACATGGCATTTGCCAGGAGGTGTCCTGTGGGTGCATATGCCAAGTGCATCCAGCGAAAGGCCTCTCAGATGAAGAAGAGAAACTTGAAGGTGGGGAACAGGCTCTGACACAGGATAGTGGAGGGCTGCCTGTGAGAAAAGGAGGGGAAAAAAAAAACAAAAAGAGTGATTTTCTGAGATTTGGTTCTGGAGAGGCAAATAAAAATTGCCATCATGGTGACCTCATGGCGCAACGGTAGCGCGTCTGACTCCAGATCAGAAGGTTGTGTGTTCAAATCACACTGGGGTCAGAAGATTTTTCTGCTCTGGCCCTCGCTTTTGGGGGCGTTTAACCATGTGTGGGGCTCGCTGGAGATGCTCAAACGTGCTCCCGTTTCAGTGCAGCAGTGTGTGCTGAATGTCAAATATTACAGCTTTTTTCCATCCTTTCCAATGCAGGGACTGTGGACAGAGCGGAAGACTTGCAACAATCCGCTATCTAAGTAGCTACAGCCTCAATCTTGAGACTTGTCAGACATTGCGGTTGATTCCCGTGTCCCGTTGGCCCCGTTTCCCCTGGGAGAACAGCCGCACACATCCAGCTGTGGCAAAGGCCTCTTCCAGCATCGTGGGCCTGCGTGTTTCTAAGGGTGCAGCTCCGTGCAGCTAAGCGGAGCAGCCCTGTGAGGAAAGGTGCGCGCTCGTGCGCCGATCCGATCCCTTCAGCAATGCAGAGAGGGCTCGGCGGGTCTGTGCGACGGCCGTGCTCAGGTTTTGTGGGAAGGCGACGCCGTGGCGCCGTGCGGGGGTTTGCGCGCCGCGGGGCAGGCGGGACAGGGATGGGCGGCCGGGAAGGGTGCGCGTCTGCGCCGCCCTGCCCCGCAGACCCCGAGCGCGGGGCCGCAGAGGCTGCGAGCCGCGCTCTGCCTTGTCAGACTCGGGCGCGGTTCATTCGGGGCTCCTAGCGGACACCTGCGGGTTTCGACACCACATGAAGTGACACAACACCGAGCGGCGGCATGAGCAGCAAGAGCCGAAACGGGCAGGACGGCAGCGTATCCACGGACACATGACAGGGGGCAGGGCGGGAAGATGGGAGCAGGGCAGCCGCGCGCCCTGCGTGCGGGTTACACGGACACGGCGGCCCCGTGTCGGCCGCGCGGCGCCGGCCTCCGCGGGGGCGCCCGGCCCGCAGGGGCGCCGCCGCCGCTCATTGGCGGAGGCGCGGGCGCTCGCCGCCGCTCATTGGCGGAGGCGCGCGCGGCCATTGTGGCGTCACGGGCGGCTCCGCGGCCGCAGTGGCGGGGCGGCGCGCTGCGCTGCGCTGGCGGCGGCCGCTGCGCGTGAGCGGGGCCCGGCGGGAGGCGCCGCGGCCGGGCCGGGCCGGGGCGGCGCGGTGGCGGCGGCGGCGCTGCATGGCCGCGGTGTCGGCACCGCGCCCCGGGCCCGGCCATGGACGCGCAGGGGCTGGAGTGGCTGCTCGTGCCCGTGCGGCGGCTCGCGTCGTGGGGCGCCGCGGGGGCCATGGTGTTCGGCGGCGTGGTGCCCTACGTGCCCCAGTACCGCGACATCCGGCGCAGCCAGAACGCCGAGGGCTTCTCCACGTACGTGTGCCTGGTGCTGCTCGTGGCCAACATCCTGCGCATCCTCTTCTGGTGAGCGCGGCCGCCGGGACGGGCGCCCTCGTCCCGCCGCCCGTGTCCCGTCCCGTCCCGCCTGAGCCCCGGCCCGCTTGGCCCTTAAGCCCGGCCTGTCCGTGCCTCCGTCTCTCTATATATGTGCTTAGCTCGGCCGGCCCTGGGCGCGGAGGCCCAGCCGGGCGCTGCCGCCCGGTGCGCCCGTGTCCCCGCCGTGTCCGCGGGCGCCGCCGCGGAGCCCCTGGGCAGCCGGGAATGGGAAGAGGATCATCCCTTAACAGGGAAGAGGGGGCTGCCTCAAAAGGCAGGTTTCCTTCCCCCTCCTCAACGCCTTATGAAAGGGCAAAGGAAGATTTTTTTTTTTCCCCAATATTTAAGAGCATATGTGTTTTCAAGTTTAGGTCTTAAAATTTTTCTGGCCCAGGAGTAAATCAGGGCTTTGTCCACCCAGAAAGAAACCTTCTAAACCTACTGCTCCGTCCTTGCAACTCGGATGGCTGCGGCAGTGGGAATGCAGTTGAGACACTGGGAAGTGGAGCAGTGGGTCCGGACTGCCACGGAAGGCGGCTGTGGCTGGCCGCTGGGACCGCGGTACACTGCCCTGCAGTCCACAGAGGCAGACACGTCCCTGCCAGCCTCCTCGCGTCGGGTCTCTTGAAACACAAGCGACTCGCCCGCGGCTCCGCCGGGCTGCGGAGACGCCTCCGGGATCCGAGGTGCGGGAATGTGTGCGGGAGAGGGGCCGGAGAGGCAGCCGAGAGCAAGAGGGAAGTAGAGGAAGGAGAAATGGAAAGGCCAACCAGGCAGTTTCCAACTGGTTGTGTTACTGTAAAGGCTCCGAGTATGGGAGTGATTTAGGTGTGAATAGAGACCTAGGCAGTTTCTGGGTAACCCAAGAGGGTGCATCTGTTAAATGAGCCTCGAGATTATGGAGGAATGAGGAAATCTCTAGTTTGCATTGATTTTAGGTATGCCTGATTAAAAGATGTGCAAAGCGATGGATTCCGTGAGTAATGAAAAGATCATTTGATGTTAGAATAATTATGAACTCTTTAAAAGAGAGAGAGGCCGGCATGTGGATGTGATTAGGTACCCTTTCCCCCCGGGAGTATCCGAGTGACATAATCTTGCTCCCTGGTGCATCATTTACAGCAATTCGGTAGCCCGGATCGTGCTGTAGCGAGTGCCCCTGGTGTGGCTGTGGTGGGAGTGTGAACTTGCTTCTGGGTTTAGGGCCACTTCCATGGTGCAAGGATATTGCAGGCCGAGTGAGCAGGGCCCTTGCTGTCCTTACCCGTAAGGAAAGGGCCCTTAGTCCTGCTGAACTGAACGGCAGGAGACGGGACGTGTGCCCTCATAATGCAGCGTGCGTGGGAGAAGCGCGTTCTGTTTTCCGACGCCTAAAGATCGGGCATCCTTGGTAGTCCCTATACACACTGGGAGAGGTGAAAGCAGCTTTTAGGGTGGCTATTGTCTTTGGGCTTGTGTTCAGCAAAATTAAAGCCAGACAGCAGAGCAGGAGCCTCTCTATGTGCTTACGTATAGAAAAATGTTTATCACGCACCCATGGGGCTGCTCAGCAGCTTGATTTTTACCACTGCTTGGTATCTTTGGTCGATGGCGCTTACCCTACCTGGGACGCAGCACTGTAACATGGCATAAAGAGCAGAACTGCTGTTACAATATGTGGAATCACCGCAGGGAGAGTGCGGGTTTTACTGTGTCTGTTTTACATCCACGGGGTGGTTTGGTGCCTCCCTGTGCCCCCCGTGCAGCTTTGGAAGCGCCCGCTCATCCGGCTGCTCCTGCCCCTTAGCGAACCAGTCTGCACCTTCACCCCAAGTTACTCTCCAAAATCTTTACTGACTCGGGCTGCAGTTCTCAGTTGTTTTCGGTTTCTCTTCGTTATCTGGGTGGTTCTGCGTATGATCTATGCCAGAGTCATCCTTCCTGACATCCTCTCCAGCCTGATCCAAAAACAAGCCCTTAAAGTGGTAATGCCTTCAAAACCCTACACTTCTAAAAATGCTGTTTTTCAGGCCCTAATTGTTTGAGGAATGTCAGCTTTTTATTGTTTTTATTTTTTAATTTCAAAGACATTTCTCTAAACTGCAGACCATTTCTGTTATTACTCCCTGATTCTCACTGAAATGCATGTGTTGCTGTTGAACTTGAGGCTGGTGGATTTGAATGTTGCCTGCTTCAGGTAACCAGACAACAGGAATAGACAGTTCCTGCCTTTTATGCCTTGTTTCCTCTACATTTTTCCTCTCAAGTAGTGCTGTTTTTTTTTTCTGTATCCCTGTCCCTTATAATGAATGTCCCATGTATCTAAGAGAGCCGTCCCATGTTTCCCCTATAGCTCTACTCTACTTTGCTCGCCTTGACAGTAGTGGAGATTCCCTTTGTTTCCACCACAGATTTGCAGATGTCTCATGCCTCTAAAACTGCATTTCTCACCCTCTCTTTGTTTTTTTAATGCCTGATTTTGTACGGGGTGAAGTTTGACCCCCACTGTCCCTTCCAAACAGGGTATTTTATTTACCCGCTGCTCTCCTGGGCAGGGTTTGCTGTGTGTGAGCGGAGCTGCAGCCGGTGCAGCAGCCCCGTGACAGCAGCCCGGGAACCAAGTGCTGCCGGGATCGCAGGGATCGCAGTCCTGCTCCCCGCTGCCTCCCTCCACAATCTCCTTTTCGCCTCCGCCTGGTTTTAAAGCCCACGGGTTCCTGTCACTGCCTCTGCTCCTTGCCTTCCTCCCGTGGGAGCTCCTGTTTTGGGATGGGCCCCGGGAGCTTCCTTTGGCTCACAGCGCAGTATCTGCTGCATGTCTTGCAGCAGGGCGCTTCCCTGCTTCGCAGTGTTTCAGGATGTTGCCTTTTAAGAAGACATTTACTGCCAGTTCTGTGTGCTTGCCCTGGTGCCTTTTAAACTAAACAGTGACCTTTTTTTTGCCGCCTCTATGGAGCAGCAGTGGGAGAGGAAAGGAGTCTGTAGCAGTGAAGACTGCGGATGGGCACGATTCTGCCTTGCGTTGTTTGCACACACGTGCCTTTTGTTTGGGGGAAAATGTGTATGTTAGAGCATGCAAACATCTGGCCCGGGGTGCTAACTCTGTATGAAGTCTTTGGCCTTTCTAAAGAGGACGTGAGAATAATTGTGGTGGAAGCAACTGGCCTGTGCAAATAGTTGTGGTGGAAGCAGCTGGTCCGTGCTCACAGCGTCACGGTGGGGCTCCGTTTGCCAGTTGGAAAAGTGGCTTTTGTGCTCCCTGTAGCCCGAGATGGTCAGATGCGCCCGTTAGTTTGGCCGTTACTGTTAAAATGGGTGCTTGTTTGTGGGTGCTAATGTGAAGTTGCTTGCAAGGTGTGGTGGGTAGTGCGCGGCCGCTGCCCGGCCCTTGCCCGCCTGTGCTGCCCGGCCCCTCCAGCCCCGTGCAGCAGAGCTGGGGCGCTGCAAAAGCCAGGCCCACTGTTGTTTAGGCTCCCCTCCGCCCTCACAGGACCCTGGCTTTGTGTCAGGAAGGTGATTCAGGTGTCTGTGACGAGCTCTGTTACATAATCCCGGCGTGTCCGGGCACGCGTGGCAATCTCCAGAAGATCCAGCACCGGCCTTTTCCCTCTGCAGCTTTAATAAAACACCTCATACCCATTTTTCCTAGCTCGTGACCTACTGCTCTTGCTATGAGTTAGTCCTGATGTCTCAGTCAAGGCTGTTAAAAAGTGCAAGGACAGTGCTGAGCCCCGCTGCTGCTTGATGTCCAGGGCTGCTTGCGGTGGGGCTGGGCCGCCCTGGGTGGGTCTGGAGCCGTGGGGCCGGCTGCCCACGTCAGAGCGCCCCATAGCACCGGAGCTCACCTGAGGGACATGCCCTCGTTTGGCCTGGCATGCCAAAGAATAAAGGAGCTCGCATTTTCTAATATTGAAATCGGAATAAATAAACAAGCAGCTAAAGGAGAGAAGCTAGAGATTTAGTTGAAGTCAGCAGCAGGCATTTTTAGTTATGTCTTGGGTAAGTGCAGCCTAAAGTAATTACACTCTCTGCTGTTCTCAGAGGGCCATGGACCTTTTTTAAAAATGCAATTCTTATAATGTTTCATACAGTCTTATAATATGGTTTATATAATTTTGAGGGACGCTATCCTGTGCTTCTGGGATTTCAGTAACCTGGTGGTTCTGTTTTTCTTTTTTTCTCCTTAGTGAGAAGCTTATGCAAGCAATCTTCGTTTCAGTTTGCAAAATGCCCATAAATTTTGGGCATAAAATGCCCCCAAATGCCCATATTTCACCCATTTTAATGAAATAAGCAATATAAGATATTGGGGTTCATTGAATCTGTATTTCTGATTCAGAGTATTAAAGTCTGACTTGAGGAGCCATGGGATGATTGAGGTTGGAAGCGACCTCTGGAGACCAAGCAGGACCAAAGAGGAGAAAGACCTGCGGATGTGCTAGGGTAGTTTCTCAAATGAAAATCAAAACCAAAGAATTACTGTTTTAGTTCTTACCGTTTCTATCGGGATTTCCCAGAAGTGTCTTCCATTGGCCAAGGAGCACTGCAGTGGGCTGCTCTGGTAGCTGCTGTGCCACAAGTGCAACAGAGAATAAAACCTGATGCTTCTGGGAGCTGTTCTCATAGAATAGCTGCCCTAGGGCAAGCTCTGGGATGAGTTTATAAGTTTTGATGGTCAGGGAAAAGATGAGAACTGTGGAGTTTGTTCGAAGGATGTTTCTGAGCCGAGGCAAACCCCTACCCATTCCTTTTATCTGAAAACAAGTGGTAGGTTCTGGTAAGTGCTGTGGATAAGCAGGACCTGGGAGCCCTGCTGCAGTAAGCAGGGGATAAGCTCCCTCCTACAGGCCCTGCTCACAGAGCCCCGCTCGGGTACTGAGAGCAGTGTGCAAGCAGGAGGCAAAAGCAGGGCCCTGCTGGAGATGGGCACAGCCTGGGACAGAGCCCCACACCGAGGGGTGTAGGGGAAACAGGGTAATTGCATTGTCAGCCTCTCCTCAGGGGCATTTTAAGAGAGGAGATGGGCAAGCCATCCATGTTTGGTTTAGTTTGTTTTGCACAATCCGCGTTTGCTGTTTGGAGCTGGCTCAAGACCGGAATAACAGGATTATTGTGACAGGAATGAGGAGCTCTGGTAGCTGTGCGGTCTTCCCAGTGCCCTGTCAGCCTCTGCTTCCACTGGAACACCAGTTCTCTTGCATGCATGACTCTGCACATGCACTGAATTTTGCTAGTACTTAAACAGCCTTAAAATAATTCCGATCACTTGCCCTGCCTATTGTTCTGCACGTTTGGCTATCACAGGAAAAGCTTAAAAAAACCCATTAAATTATGAAGAGCTCAAGCCTGACGTTTGCAGCATGGAGTCCCTGGGTGCTGCGGATGCGGTGGCGGCTCGTGCTGTGGTTGTGGGGCGCAGATGCAGAGCCATGATTCTGCGTGAGCACCCGGCCCGGTGAGATTTGATCATTTGGAGTCCCCCAAAAAGTCCTGTTTCCAGTAGACCTCTTGTGTGTTTTGTTCTTTATTTTGAATTGTTAAAGGGCTAGAAGACTTGGGAGTCTGCCATGATGCTCTCAGTCTCGGGCGAGATAAGCCTGAGCTGATGGCACGTGGCTATTATAATTTGGCCAGAGGTGGCCTTGAGTGTGTGTGTTTGAAGTGGGTGGATGTTTATGCTGCAACCCATCCTTGGGTGAGGCAACCACGACTGAGCAGGCCAACAATTTCATGAGCTGGACGATAACCTTGCAGTGACCTCAGCTGGATTTACCATCTGAATAGCTTCTGGCTTGCTGCTATCTCAGCCCCTCTTATGTGCATTGCTACAGTTTTTTTACATAAGAATGCACTTGTAATTGGGGATGATTTTCTTAAGCCTGCAGTAAGCAGTTTTACCTGCTCTACAGATTTGACTACTTAAATCTTTCCTGTTTGTTTACTTCTTTCCCTCCTGGAGTAAGAGGCAAAAGCAGCAGTAGCAAATTCCAGTGGTCTGAGGGAGCATCTACAATGGTGTGGCCCATCTCAAACCTGTAGATGAGAGAGAAAAGAGGGTACTTGAAAAAGGGACTTAAGGGAGGGTCTGGGGAGGATGGGGCTGACCTCTTTTTAGTGGTGGCCACTGATAGGACTAGAGGAAACAGCCACAAACTGAAGCACCAAAAGTTTCACAGGAACTTAAGGACAAATTTGTTTCCTGTGAGGGTGACAGAGTCCTGGCACAGGCTGCCCAGAGAGGCTGTGGAGTCTCCTTCTCTGGAGATCTTCCAAACCCGCTTGGACACAGCCCTGTGCCCCGTGCTCTGGATGTCCCTGCTGGAGCAGGGGGGTTGGTCTAGATGACCCAGGCACCAGTACAGACTAGGGGTCGACCTGCTGGAAAGCAGCTCCGCGGAGAGGGACCTGGGAGTCCTGGTTGACACTAAGTTAACCATGAGTGAGCAGTGTGCCCTCGTGGCCAAGAAGGACAACGGGATCCTGGCCTGCATCAGGAGGAGTGTTGCCAGCAGGTCAAAGGAGGGCATCCTGCCCCTCTCCTCAGCTCTGGTGAGGCCGCACCTGGAGTACTGTGTGCAGTTCTGGGCACCCCAGTACAAGAGGGACGTGGAGCTTCTCGAGAGGGTCCAGAGAAGAGCAACCAGGATGATTAAGGGAATGGAACATCTCTCATACGAGGATGGGCTGAGTGAGCTGGGCCTGTTTTCTCTGGGAAAGAGAAGGCTGAGAGGGGATCTGATTAATGTGTATAAGTTCATGAAGGGAGAATGCAGGGAGGAAGGGGCCAGGCTCTTCTCATTGGTGGCCAGCGATAGGACGAGGGGTAATGGCCATAAGCTGAAACACAGGAGGTTCCATCTCCAGGTGAGGAGGAACTTCTTTACTGTGAGGGTGATAGAGCCCTGGAACAGGCTGCCCAGGGAGGTTGTGGAGTCTCCTTCTCTGGAGGTCTTCCAAACCCGCCTGGATGCCGCCCTGTGCCACATGCTGTAGGTGTGCCTGCTGGAGCAGGAAGGTTGGACTAGCTGATCTCTAGAGGTCACTCCCAACCTTAAGGATTCTGTGGTTCAATGAACTCTTGTGTGTGGCCGTGACTCTTCCAGTAGCTGACGGTGGCTTTGGGAGGCGCGTGGAGGTCCGAGGCCTGGTCGTGGTTGCCTCAGCTGTGTCGCAGCTGGCAGGAGATACCTGGCCGTGTCCATCGGCATGGGCTGCCTGGGAGCTCCACACAGAGGGATTTCCAAAGAAAGCAGTCAGGGACTTTCCACCCTTCCTCATGCCCTCTTGACGTGACTCATAAGAAGAACAAAATCTCTGTGAGGAAGCGGTTGGAGAGGAAAGGTGGTGCTGGTTTAGCTCCACGTGCAGCGTGTGAGAGCCCACGGCGAGCGCGGTTGGTTTCTGCCGCCACGGGGCTCACCCAGGAAAGCAACCCACGCGCAAGAAGTCACATCTTGCCCCTTGAGCATGGGGTCGTCTTCATGAGATAACCCTAACGTGCAGGGGAAGAGCTGGAGGCGGCGAAACGGCCCCTGCGAGGGGCGTAGAGCCGGCAGGAGGGGCGCGGGCCGCGGAGCCGGCTGCGTGATGGGCCGGGAACGGGGCCTCGCGAGGGCCTCCCGGGAGCGCCTGCCGCCGGCCAAGGAGCCCTGCACCGGGCTCGCACAGCGCCGCTGCCGTCTTAAATCTAATATCCTGTAGGGCTGCACGGGAGACGCTTCCGTCCCCTGTCGCTAATTCACTTAGCGGGGCTGCAGGAAGAGGCGCCTGGAGCGCGGCCAGCCTGCGCCGAAGGGCCTCGCTTTCCTACGGCACGGCCTGGCGCCATGGCGCCGCAGCAGCCCTTCAGCAGGGCTCGTCCAAAACCCAGCGGCATCTCCCTGCGCCGCACGCGATAGTCTCTGCCAAATGTCATCTGTGGGCAAGCGGAAATGCCGCCTGGGGAGAGAAGAGAGGGCAGAGCCTGTATGCTTCGTTTTCACCTCTTGTGCTTCTTTTCTTCCCCCAGCTTTGGGCCCGCTAAGATGCAGACTGGTGCCTTGGTGTGTGCTGCACACCCAGCCTCTTCACTCCGATGTCTGGGCAAAGCAGGAGGCCCGCACTGCCTGTTTGCTTGTTTTAAAAATACTTATAAATATTAAAGATATTAAAGATATTAAAGATAGTATAAACCTTTGAATATTTTAACAGGGCAAATGTTACTGCTTTTTCATGATTTTACCTTAAAAATTTGATCAACAGAGTCAAATTTTGTATAGCAGTCCTTGCAAGACCCATGAGGTGTGTCAATGGAGAGAATATGTAACTGCTGTTAACACAGTAAAATTCTGCTGCCTCTTTGTGCTGCCTCTTCTTTCAAAATAATAGATCTGCTGTGTGCCTGAGCAGCAGAGACTTAAGCTTCTGCTTTCAGAGTTTCTAGGGTTGGTCCACAGGGATGTTTTGCCCAGGACAAGGGGATAGTGACTCTGCTGTGCTCCTTCCTATATGCTATTGGTTTTCTTTTCTGGCCTCTCTCAGCTGTTACTGTAAGGGTGACTTATGATTTCCTTTGTCAGATGCCTAGAAAATACCAAGACGTGAAAATAACTGAAAAAGTTTAACCAAGAACAACATTTGCAGTCTTTGAGGTGTTTTATATATTTTCCTTTTGCTTTTCTTTTTAGGTTTGGAAGGCGTTTTGAATCCCCTCTTCTGTGGCAAAGCATTATCATGATCATCACGATGTTACTGATGCTGAAGCTGTGCACTGAAGTACGTGTGTCCAACGAGCTAAACATCAAGCGTCGCTCTTTCGCAGGTGAGTGGCAGGAGCCGCCTCTTGCAGCGTGAGTCATTTTAAAAACATATGGCCTTACGTTTTGAACATAAATTCTGTCTGGTTTGCAACCCAGACATCCCTTCTTGCTGATCCAGGGTGGCTCTCTCTGAGCTTCTTTGAAACCACTTTCATTCAGATGAATATTTAAAGCTGTAATTTTATTTTAAATGGGCCTTGGTTCAGGCTGGAAGTCAGATTGCTTCTTAATATTTCACATCAAGCTCTAAGTTATAGAACTAGCTGTTCTGTCATTACGCTAGCCTGGATTTTTTCTTAAGATCTTGCCTTAAATAACGAGTTGTGCTTTCTACCAAGTTCTCAAGTGGGAGATGGACCCTGATTATATGCTATTATCCCAAAACTCATTTTGCAGTCGGCAGCAAAGTATGTTTCATATGCACAGAATGTATTTCCTGCTTATTGAAATATTCACAGTCAAAATAGAGGTATGATCAAAATAGATCATACCATGAAGTCATATCTGTTTATGTACAGTTTGATTTTTGATTTTTTCCCACTTTTTTGTTTGTTTGTCATATTTTTAGGCATTGATGATTTCAGTTGGGGGCAGAGTGTTACTCTTTATTTAATAAAATGCTCTTGCTTCATGTAAACTCTTCAGTTTTCATTTTCCCAGCAGGGAAGTGTGAGAGGGGTAGGTTTTGCGCTTCTCTGTATTGACTTTGACTTGCATCATTTTATTTTGCAGCTTATTACCAACAAGAGCAGAAGCAATACTGACAGCTTTTTGTCGGTTGTTGTGCCAATATGGATGTATAATTTATTCTCCCCATCTGTTCTCTTCCCTCCTTGCCTAATAACCGATGGTCTCATCGAGTTCCAGATATCTGCAGCCATCGTTAGAAGGCAGCAGGTACTGGCTATGCGCTAGGGTAGTTTATGTGGTAGCTGAGGAGGCCCCTTTCATCCCTGCTCGCTGTGCAGCGTGCTGAAGGACTGCTCAAGTAAGTGGCTTCACGTGCAAGAGGAGGTGTCCTGCAGCTCCCAGTGCTGCTCCGCGTTGCCTTTTCCCCTCTCTTTCCATCACAAGCTGCTCTGTCCACAAGGGTTGGTAGCCTGACAGGGTGAATGAATGACTTAAACTCCTTTCTGCTGGGTTTTGGCAGAGGTTGAAGAGCAGGAGGCACTCAGGAGGTGCTGTGTTGTGCCTCCTTCACCCTCCTTGCTGCTGCCCAATGACACTGGCAGCCAGGTTTCTGTGTTTGCTGAAGGAAAGCTGTCCCAGCGCAGGGTTGCCCACACGCTGCTCCAGCTCCTTCAGTAACCTTTGGACGAAAGGGGAGGCTGTTCAGTTTAGCGTGTGTTCCTCTTCAAACAACTCTCCTCACAGATGTACAGCCTCCTAAAAGATGATCCGTCCAGATATGAGAAACTTCTTAAGGCTGCCTTGTGTCATTTGATCCTTTTTTTTTTTTCTTGAAAATCAACTTGACGTGTTTAATTATCTAGAGAGATTAGTTTTACCTCCTTGTGGACCATAATTGCTTGTTTTCAGCTCAAGGTTTGCCTTCTTCCACAAATCTGGAGAACAGCACAGTGCAGCTTAAAGTCTCTTATGTGTGATTTTTTTTTTTTTCCTTTTAATGAGTGATGAAGTGTTGTTTCAAATATCTTCAAGCTGGAGAAAACATGAACACTGAGATATTGATCCCCTGCCAGCTATAATGTGCTGGTTCGGAATAGACCTTTCAGTGCCTACAGCAGTCCTTTTGAGTGAGGGAGGAAGATGGGTTTGTATTTAAACCACAGAATCAGTAGGAGTGAAGAGATATGGATTTCTAATCCTACACCTAATCTTATCTCTTGAATTTTATGGTCTCCTAGGAAAGCTGATAGATTTCTCTGTACTTTCCTTCCTCATAGCTTGTCTGGGCAATGAGAAGCTAGACTTGAAGTCAGTGTTTCTGAGGAGACTTGCGGAAACCTGGGCGCACAATTTCTCTGTTATGTGATATATAACTCCTCAGATGCCAGCTTTTCAATTTATATCTTTTTATTCTGCCACTTCCATCTTTCCTCAGAATGTTCCTGCAAAATAATTCAAAATATTTAGAAAGTGAAGCTAGTTTTTGTCTGTCCATTACTAATCCATTGCCTTGTTTTCCTCCCAGAAGGAGGAAAATACTGTTCAGAAGGAATCTACTTAACTTTTATAAGCATTATGGAATATTCTCTCCTAATCCTGACAAGGCTGTTCTCTACTCTGTTTTAGGGGGTCACTGAGTTAAAATACATGTTAGTTGCAATTTAGAGTGTGGATGAAAAGCCATTTAATTGCATTTTCATTTATAGAGCAACTGTCATTGCTTGAAAGAATGAATCTCTATGAATTGTTTGATTATTTATTATAACTTCTTTATGGAGAACTCATTAGGAAAACTTCCTTTGTTCTTTTTGAGTTTGTCTTTTTTTTTTTTTTTTTTACTTCTTTTTTTGATGTCTCCCTAAGTCATCTAATCTGCAAGGAAGTTAGGAGTAGTAGTCCATCTTTTGTGCTGCTGCTGCCTTCTCTTTCTGTTCCGGATGCATGAACTTATACTTCAATTATATGTGCTGCTTGAAGTGAGAGCTAAGTCCTCTTTAAATGCCCAATGCCCAACTGTGCTACAAACAAACAAACTGTATATGCTGTTTCTAACTCTTCTACATTAAAAGAAAAACTGCAAAGCAAAAAACCTTTTTCTCTAAGTTCTTCAATGATAGGATAGTTTCTCTCCTGCATAGGAATGTTATGAAAGAGAGTGGCAGTGCGAAGATGTCCTCAGATAAAGTCACTAGGCATGAAAAACGTCTTGCCTCTTTCTTAATCTTTTATTTCACACTGTTTTTGTTTTACCTTGTGTGTTTTACTAGTGCGTTTCCTGGCACCATTGTTGCGGGAACAATAGCTCTCCTGACTCGTCATCAGTTTTTAATCGGGTGTCTGTGCACAGCCGTGTGCCTGTTGTTGGCTCAGGACGGAAAAGGGCAAAGTTCAGTGGCATTTTCCTTTGTTGCCCTAGTTCAAAGCAGTGCATTATTTCTGAGGCAGGGAGCTGCTGCTACTACGCTGGAGTGCCACATCCTGCAAAGCAAAATCCGAATTTCTGCCTGCCTCGCATCCTGACTCTAGATTAGAGGCCTTTGCAGGAGGCTGGAGATAAGTGCTCGCAAGTGTACAGCTGGTGACGACTGAAAACAAGGGTCATCCCTGAAAGAGGTGGCAGGCTGGGACAATCTCATACTCGTGGAGACGCTCTGCGAAGGGACTTCTCACTCCTCAGCCCTTTCTTAATGTCTTGGGTGGGAGTGTTATACAAAGCATGGAAACTAAAATTTCTGGCATGTTTTATTTTCCCTTTTCTTTTTTATTAGCAAAATACACTAACTGACTAAACTTATACTAAAAGACCTGCTATTGTATTAAATCGTGCAAGTCTATTTTGTGTCCCCTTCCTTTTTATTCTCAACTTGTTTTTTTTGTGTAGCTGCAGATAGTAAGGATGAAGAAATCAAAGCACCTCCCAAGAGATCTTATCTGGGTACGTACCATACAAACCCACTGTGCATGAAGTTGTCATTCCAACTGTATGTTTCATGCTTTTCTACTTTTTGTAACCATTGTCAGAAATGATTGCATGATCATTTCTACAGCAAATGTTTGCACTACACTTTTTCACATACTAAAATCTGGTGCATGGTTTTAATTTTTTCTTCCTCGTTTTTAATTCTCGTAGAGGAAAAGATGCTTGTAGCTCTATTTCAGATTTTTTTTCCCAAAAAGAGTTGAATTCACTCCATTGTTTCTCAGTGGCATCTTTCTCTTTTTCTTCCCCAAGCTAGAGAAGTTAAATATTACCTGATACTGGGATCCATCTCTTGTGATCTTTATTCCTCCTCTTCCAGCTCTGACTCCAGAGGAAACTGAAAAAATCTGTTTTTCAGAGTACCTTGTAAGAAGTTTCCCACGCCCCTTGATGTTCAGTGAAAGACCCATTTTTTTTTTTTTTTCTGTCTTGTTCCTCTCTCCCATTAGAGCAGAATCAATTATTACTTGGATTGGAGATTAGTAGCACTTTACAGTAAGAGCCTCCAATCATCTTATGTCTCAGAGCTGGAATCTGTGTTAATTTGCCAAAAAGGAAGAGGAGGAGATATTAATGCAATCTAATTTTGCATTATTTTTAACTCAATATCTGGGAAAGACAGTTTCTGTCAGGTGACAGGCTTTTGGGGAAAGAATTTATGATATCATGTTAGGGAAGTAGCACCAACTGTAGACACACAGAAGTTGTCTCAGTTTTACTCGCATCAATTTTTAGACTGATTTGAGTTGAAATGATGCACATATCTTACATCGGTTATTTTGGTTTCAGAAGCTCTACTGAAATTCTCAAATTAGTAAGGGGTCAGTTGAAGAAATACAGGGTAAACTGCAGTGTTCCTCGTTCAACAGGAGAATATCTTCTTTTATATCTGTTCACAGTCAAATAAAGAGGTGCCAATTCTGAGAAAACAGTGATCTTAACCTGAGTGCTCTCTTGAAGCCATCAGACCGGTCCTCTGAAGGTTACCCAGGCTGTCTTTTAATGATTAATTTTCTGGATCTTTCTGAATTAGGGGCAAAATACACAGCTCGGGATATTCACTGTGTGCTGGTCTAATACCAGTATTTTGCAAAGCACCTTTTCCTTTTATTTTCAAAACAAAATTTTTTAATGGGCTTGACATCAAACTCTTTTATTTCGCTGTTTGTCTTCTAGTTTTGTAGTGGTTCTCACTGGCTTGCCACACTAACCAACAAAATGTAAACTTGAAAGGATCCTACCTTTGATGTGTCTACATTCCTGCTGCCTTCAATTACATTCAGCAATGCTTTTATTTATGGTGTCGAGCTAAAAGTGGCTGTCTGTGCTTTTGGTTGTGGGGTTGTGGATTATTTCAGTGTTTGAAGTCATTAAAACTGAACAGAAATGAGCAGTTTCTTGTGACTTCTTATGCAGTTTTGAATTTTCAATAGTTTTTCTTTTCCTTCATTTAAAAAATCAATTATTTTCTATTTTGAGTGCTTAAAAAGTTGAAATGATTGGTGAAGAAAAAACATAGAGCTTAGTATAAATGATGCGAGCTTGAAACATTTGTTTAATATAAGTGATGCTTGAAGTTCGTTTTGGACTTGCTTAGCAAAATGAGATTGGTGAAATCACTATCTCAAATGAAAAGGCCCATCTTAGGCAAGTGCTCAGAGGTGTAATGATTGGAGTTGGCAAGTCTGTTTTCTCTTGAAATGGCGTAATTTTTGCTGGTGTGAATACAGAAGAAATGTTTCGAGGTGTTCATGCACAGCATACATAAATAGTTATTTTCTGGTGGCTAAAAGAGTAGCAAAAGCAGTGCTTTAGAGCATGGCCTAAGCCATGCTTTGATTTACAGAGGGTTTAACTCAGTTATGCTCCTTAGTGCCATGTTTTCCTACACAGCTCTGGGCAGCTGCCTCAGAGTTTAGGTTACAGAAGTATCTGCCATCTTTCGTGTGGGGACAGTGTTGTTCCCATGTCTTACTGAGGAGACTAAGGCCCATTTGGAATTAAATCTGGTCGAGTGTCAAGGACAACAAGAAAGACTTCTAATAACTTAGTAGTAAAAGGACCACAAAGGAAAATGTGGGTCTGCTGCTAAATGGGGTGGGTGAGGAAGGATACAGAGAAGGCAGAGTTACTGAATGTTGCCTTTGCTTCAGTCTTCACTGCTAAGACCAAGCTTGAAGAATCCCAGACATTGGGGAGAGAAAGTCTGGAGAAAGATGGACTTCCCCTTGGTTGAAAAAGATTGGGATAAAGATCATGTAGGATACTGACACGCGCAGATCCATGACCCCCGATGAGGTCCACCCACAGGTGCTGTGGGAGCTGGGAGATGTTATTGTTTGGCCACTCTCCATCATCATTGAAAGGTCATGGACAACAGATGAAGACTGAAAAAGTCATTGTCACTCCAGCCTTCAAAAGGACAAGAAGCTGGGCCCAGGTCAGTCATCCTCATCTCCCTCTTTGCAAAGGTGATGGAGCAGCTCATCCTGAATGCCATCTCTAAGCATTGGAGGGCAAAAAGGTGATTAGCAGTAGCCAGCATGGCTTTACCAGGGGGAAGTTGTGCTTAACCAACCTGATAGCCATCTATGATGGGGTGACCAGTTGGGTTGATGAGAAGAGAGCAGTGTGTGTTGTCTACCTTGACTTTAGGAAGGCTTTAGACACTGTCTCCCATAACCCCCTCGTAGGCAGGCTCACAGAGCGTGTGCCACATGAGCAGACAGTGAAGGGGATTGGGAACTGGCTGAACGGCAGAGCTTGGAGGGTTGTGGTCAGTGGTGCAGAATCTAGTTGGAGGCCTGGGTGTCCCCAGCGTTGTTCAGCTTGGTCATTGGTGACCTGGATGAAGGGACAGTGGACACCTTTGGCAAGTCTGCTGATGATAGAAGCTGGGAGGAGTGGTTATCCAGAGAGACCTCGACAGGCTGGAGAGGTGAGTGGAGATGAACTGCATGAGGTTCAGCAAAGGCAAGCGCAGGGTCCTGCACCTAGCGAGAGAGGCCAGGTAAGGGCCACTAAGATGAACTGGAGCATCCTTCTTAAGAAGGAAAGATGGGGAGAGCTGGGCCTGTTCAGCTTGGAGGAGACCAAGAGGGTATCTCACCAGTGTGTACAAATATCGTAAGGGAGAGTGGCAAGAGGATGGGGTTAGACTCTTTTCAGTGGTGCTCAGTGGGGAGACGAGAGACAACGGGCAAAGACTGAGACACAGGCAGTTCTGCCTGAACATGAGGAAAACTGCTGTGCTGTGACGATGACTGAGCACCGGAACAGGTTGCCTGGAGGGGTGGTGGAGGCTCCATCCCTTGAGATTCACAGGCCGCCTGGACATGGTCCTGGGCAGTGTGCCTAAGGTGACTCTGCTTGAGCAGTGGGGTTTGGAGTGGTTGATCTCCAGAAGTCTCTTCTAACCCCAGCCATTCTGTGGGTTTTGATGGACCTTCTCCCCCTGCCCAAGGAGTTATAAATTGGCTTCTTCCTTTGCTTCTTGAGGCTGTTCAGGTCATTATATTGCTTTGTTTTTCCTTCCAGTTACATAGTAAATGTATGTTGTGCTTGTAACTGAAGCTTGGCTGCCCATGCAAATTTGTTTTGTAGATCAGTTAAACCATTATTACACCATTAATCTTAAAACATAGTGCTCTACCAGTAGATTTCTGGTTGATAGATCAATGCTGAGGCACTTGTTTGATGCCTCATATTTGAGTAGGAACGGAGCTCTTGCTTGGGTCCTTCAGGTCGCTTTTAAGCCCTTTTTTTCTTTTGTCAGTAATCCAACAAACCACTTAATGCCACTGTTGTTCTACATGTTATCTGAGAAGGCTTTTAGTTGGCGTGTAACTCTGAAACTGTCCTTGTAGCAGTCAGTGCTGAGGTAGTGAGGATGGGAGAGAAGAGCCTTTTGTGGTCCCACTGACTCAAATAAAATCAGGATAATTTAAAGCACGGCGGGCCCAAGAGTGCCAGGCTTTCTGAGTTCAAGCAGAAATAAAATTGTTTCTTTTTTTCTAGGCAAAGGAAGAACTAACAAGGATTAAATAGCACCAGTTGTGGAGGAATGTTGTTTATTCCCTTTATTCTTCTAAAACAAGGATTTAGTTTTACCTAACGCCTTTTAGCATGTGACAGCTGCCACTGAGGATGAGTGGTGTTTTTCTCTTTTCTAACTGAAATGCTTTAGAATAAGTTTGAGCAATTGTCTTTATCTCTTACACTGAGATGCAAGTTCCTGCATATATTTTGAGTCCTGTGAGACGTGGAGATTGTTGGGGTAGAAGCAGCAAAACTCAAGGCATCAGTTCAAAGATACTGTGTCTTTGAAGCTGTTTTGAATGGTCTCATTTGCCTGGCAGCTGTGTCCCAAAGTACATGCTGTTTGTTTAGTTTTCCAACTAAATATTTAAACACATCGAAGGACACTTCTGGTCACAAGGGTTTTCTTTTTTTGTCTCTGAAGCTAGTTTTAAAACTCGCTGTGCTATTGAACCCTGAACTCTTGCTCTTGACCCAGACAAAAAATTCTCCAACTAACGGCTTATTTTGAAACAGCAATAACGAAATATTTCAACAACAAAACAGGTTCACCTGTTTTGTAAATCTACCTGTTACAATAGCATTTAACTTTCTGGTTTAGTTTGCTGAGGTGGCCATGCAAGAAAAGTCTGGGTAGGAAACTGCACCGAGATAATACCAGCATAATAATGGGAATAGTAACATGAAATAAGCAGGCATAGCAGCCTGCTACATAATTCCACTGGCAAACTGGCAACTGAATAAATAAATTTCTGTTTCAGCTCTTTATTTGTCCCTCTCCTTCCTGGGGTCTGTGGGCTGGTGGCAGAATAAGGGCTGGCATACTTCACACCACCACCAGTACACCGTATGGGCCATGAGCGAAATCAGCTTTAATTAGGTCTCTGGCTCCCTCTGCTCAGTGTTTGGCCTGAGTG